AGGGAGGTGGGGAGTCAACTCTGATGGTTGGGGGAGGTGGGGGGTGGGTCTTGCCTCTGATGGTCACTACTGAGTGGTTGAGATGGTTTCTGAATGGTTGTCGGATGTTTTCTTAGTGACTGCTGTAGACAGTGGGCCCTTTCTGATTGGCTAATGATTCCTTTGTTTGGTTTTTATTTTCTGCCAGAAGAATAGAGACAAAAATAAATAAATAGATTAAGATAGAAAAAGAGATAATGGAAGAGAAAGAAGTGAGTTTTTGAGTTCAGGGTCTTGTTATTGTGGGGGAGGGCTTGAGGGGGTAAGGGGATGGGAGGGAAGAGGGGATAAAGGGGGTGGGGGATGGGAGGGGAAGGAAAGTAGGAGAGAAGACGACAGGAGGGATTGGAGGGGAGGGGGAGGGAAAAGAGGGGGAGGGGGGTAGGAGGTGGAGGGGGTAGGACGGAAGTGGAAGATGGAAGGGAAGGAAGATGGTAGGAAACGAGGAGGAAGGCGGAATGGGAAGAGGAGAATGTAAGAGACATGTCAGGAAGTGTGTTGAGAGAGAGAGAGAGAGAGAGAGAGAGAGAGAGAGCGCGAATAGTCCCTCTCTCTCTCTCTGTCACACACACACACACACACACACACACACACACACTCTTGTTTTTACTTCATGAGGATAATATGGCAGCCTGAGTCTTAACCAATCACAGGCGTGGGACTTATTTGCTCTGGCGGGTCTTAACCAATCATCGTCTAAGTTGCCGCTCGGTGTGACAGGTCTAAGCCAATCAGAGTCGGAGTTACCATTCGCATTTTGGGGGGTTTTGCCAATCAGAAATTAATACACTTCTTCGTGTCTCACGTCTTGACCAATCAGAGGCTACACTGCTATACATTCTCCAGGATCTTAACCAATCACAGACGAATACATTACTACCTGTCTTACGTCTTAACCAATCGGAGAACAGAGGCATTATTCGTCCTGGGAGGATTTAACCAATCAGAGATGGACACGTTATTGCCTGCCTCGCGTCTCAACCAATCAAGGACGGGGGAATTGTTTCGCTAATTACGGGGGATAATTAAGGCCTAAGCTGGGGTGATTATGTCTCACCTGGGGGGGGGGAGATAATGGGGTGGGGATGGGTGAGGAGTTGGGGATGGGGGGAGGTAAGAGGGTGGAATAGATGAGGATGGGGGTGAGGAAAGTGAGAGATAATGGGGAGAGGGGTGAGGAAAGTGAGAGAAAATGGGGAGAGGGGTGAGGATGGGGTTACGGGTAATATGGGGTGGGGGAGATAATGGGGGAGTGAGGGGTTTTAATGGGTATGTTAATTTTAAAGTGATTGATAATAATAACAACAACAACAACAACAACAACAACAACTAAAAATACCCTTGGCATCAACGTTAACTTTATAAATGAGTTTGTAAAGAAATTAATTAGAAATAAACAAAGAGGGTTGGGGGGGGGGGGTTGGTGCCGCCGACGACCGCTTGCGGCATGGAGTTGCGGCTACTTGGTGATAATTGATAAAGTTGACTCATAAGTTACGGAGGATGGCGGGAATTACCTCAACAACAAGTTTTAATGAGCCCCGTCTGACACCATTATTAACTACCATTATTAACTACCATTATTACTATGTTATTACTACCACCGCCACCGTATCTACCATTATCACCTCACCACCATCATAACCACCACTACCACTTTCGTTACTACCACCATTACCACCACTAATACTACCATCATCATCAAAACAACAACTATCACCACCACCACAACTATTACCAGCACCACAACCACAACTGCCATCATTACAGCCACAACCACCACCACCACAACTACCACAACTACCACATCACCCTCATCTTACTTGTCATGAAATGTGATTGGTGGCGACGCTGTATCTCTTATCAACTCTCAGCCAATCACAGTCATCCAATCAAAAACATGTCAGCAAGTCTAAGCCAATCAAAACACCTCCTTTCTACTCATAAATATAATTGGTTGTTTTATTGGTATTCATGAACGTATATGTGTACTCTTATGTATACACAGCTTCCCCCGTTCATACATACATACATCAGGAAGGCTGGCCACTCTGAAAGCTCCCTGTGTAAGCGTGTTTATTTATTATGTCTATTGAATTTAGTAACAATGAAATAATCTTTTAAGTGCGAAACAAAATCATGAAATTGCGTTTTATTTGAGGCACGGAGAGAGAGAATGTGTGTGTGTGTGTGTGTGTGTGTGTGTGTGTGTGTGTGTGTGTGTACATAAGTTGTAATCAAGTAACGTACCCCAGCTAATAGATCACCCCTCCACCTCCCCGGCCTGGACAGTGACCCTTGCTGTCTTAGGCCGTCTTTAAACATAATCCCCCCCTTTAAAGAAGAAAACTAAACCTTATACAAAGAGACCATAAAACTCATCCCCACAGCGCCATCCGACACACACACACACACACACACAAACGAGAATGCAGGTCTAGTCATCAGCACCCGGGCCAGCTGCGACAATCTGACATAAGAATAAAATATAGTTGAGTTTCCCCTACCATCCTTCCTTTATCACCAAATTTATCCCATACAAAAACTCTAGTATTATTTTCTACCTATCTACACACACAGAATATATGAATGGATAAATTTTGAGGGTTTTAACACGTCAGAGAGAAAGAGAAAGCGAGAGAAAGTGAGATAGAGAAAGGGGAAAGTCATAGAACGAAAACGGTATCTCACATGCCAAACGTTTCACCCACTATATATCACATTTTTATGAGTTTCTCTCTCTATACCGATTGACCATTAGCCGAGGATCTCCCCTTCCCCTCCTCTACCACCGCAACCGACCCAAATATGCCTGCAGCAGTAACACACACACACAGGGGGGGGAGCTACCACAGTGCAGGATTACAGTCATCACACTAACTACAAACCACCACAGCCACCACACCACAACCACAGCAGGAGGCGTGTGGTGCGTGTTGATCTGACGATGCTATCACACACGACCTGTCCACCTGTGTGTGTGTTTTTACCTTAAGCCGTCGGGTAGTAAATTGGTAACCATGCCCTGCCTACACGCCTCCTGCACCCATGCCCTGCCTACACGCCTCCTGCACCCATGCCCTGCCTACACGCCTCCTGCACCCATGCCCTGCCTACACGCCTCCTGCACCCATGCCCTGCCTACCACGCCTCACCTGCACCCATGCCTGCCTGCACGCCTCCTGCACCCTTACAGACAGAAACAGACATACAAAGAGGAAACAAGAAGAGGCATATACATACATACATACATACATACATACATAGGCTGGCGTAGCATAATGAATAAAAATAAACGATTTATAATGAATAATCAAAGCATTTATTTCCCTCCTTTCCAATATAATAGTGTCTGGGGGGTACTTGAGGGGTAAGGTACCAACACGTAAATATTAACTTTATTTTCGGCTCCGATAGTCCATTCAGCATTGTTAATTTGGCTTCAACAGGTAGAGGTGTTCAATTACATTTAGTTTGGTATACACAACTTATTACCTCACGTTTAATATTTATGTATGTTTGTTTGTGTGTATTGTGTGTGTATGTTTGTGTGTGTATGTTTGTGTGTGTATGTAATGTATTCTTGCATCTTGTAGAGTAAGAAAAGTTTATATGATTATGTCTCTCTCTCTCTCTCTCTCTCTCTCTCTCTCTCTCTCTCTCAACCTGAAAACTTAACCATATATATAAACTGGGGCACAGGACACACCCCCCCTCCCTCCTACACACACACTGGGGAGCTGGACACCCCCCTCCCTCCTACACACACACACACTGCAAGATAACATCACATTGTAACTCTTCCTAAGGGCTAAAAATTCACAGAGATTTTTAACGTTATAAGAGAGAGAGAGAGAGAGAGAGAGAGAGAGAGAGAGAGAGAGAGAGAGAGAGAGAGCATATCTTTAAGACTTAAGGAAAGATAAACGTGTCTAAGTCGTCCTAGAAGCTATGTACAGGAAGATTCTTTTGTTGTTGTTGCTGTTTTTTTGTTTTTTTTGCTTTTGTTTTGTTGTTGTTTTGCTGTTTTTGTTGTTGTTGTTGTTGTTTTTGTTGTTTTTATTGTTTTTGTTGTTTTTATTATTGTTGCTGTTTTTATTGTTGTTTTTATCTTCCTCTGAGAAATATCGTGATTTTCCTCTTCCTGGTTTTAAAAGGATGTTATCATTCTTTTTCCTCCTCCTCCTCCTCCTCCTCCTCCTCTCTCCTGAAGGTGCGGGAGAAGTTAGTGACGGTGTTGAAGGTAGAGGAGTATCCAGTAGGGCTTCCTGAACGCTTCCTGTAGGAGGGTTTATTACAGGTGGTAAGGAGAGGAGGAACAGGGAAGGAAGAGAAAGGAAGAGGAAGAGGGAAGGAGGAGTCTTAAGAGTTACATACCAAGATTTTCAGTTTTATTTTAGCTTTTGTTGAGAGAAGGGGAGGGAAGGAGGGGGGAGGGAAGGAGTAAAGGAGGGAGAGAAGAAGGGAGGGAAGGGAGGATAGAAAGGGAAAGAGGGTGGGAAGGAAAGAGAGAGAGGGGGGGTACTCAACATGCTCTCTCTCTCTCTTTCTCTCTCTCTCTCTCACTTTTTGCCATGTCCTCCTGTCTGTCTGTCTGTCTGTCTGTGTCTCTGTCTTCCTCTTTCTTTCTGTCTTTGTTCCTGTCTGTTTTTCTTCTTGTCTGTCTGTCTGTCTGTCCTCTCCACCAGTCCCACTAATGAGTAAGTCGCTGAACAGCCTCTAATGCTCGTTAACCTTCCAACTACTACAACTGTGACCTGTTTATTCCCCTCGTTAAACCTCCAATGACCATGTGAGGGTCCTTTCGTTAAACCACTGATGAACGAATGAGAATTTATTAACTTCTCTACAATGTTAATTATTTATCATTATTACTGTTAAATTTACAACAATATTTCCATGATGTTAAACCCCTAAGACATTGTACCAGATATAAAACACTTCTTCTTCCCCTTCTACAGGATGATGGGGGCGCGGACGTGGCTTCTGGTGGTGGCGGTGCAGGTGTTGGTGGTGGAAGGCAGGTGTCCCAGGCCGTGCAGGTGTAATTATGAGGAACACGGCAGGAAGGTGGTGACATGTGACGCTGGCAGCCTGACTGGGCCTATACCTGTGTTTGATATGGATATGGATACTAAGGTGAGGGAGATAGGGTGAGAGATATAGGGTGAGAGAGATAGGGTGAGAGAGATAGGGTGAGGGAGATAGGGTGAGAGAGATAGGGTGAGAGAGATAGGGTGAGATAGGGGTGAGAGAGATAGGGTGAGAGAATAGGGGGGAGAGGTAGGGTGAGAGATGGAGTGTGACATAGGGTGGGGGTATAGGGGCAGAGATAGGGTGAAATGAGGGTGAGGATGAGGAGAGTGGAGGGTGAAATGAGATGAAGAAGTGAGGGTGAGGAAAGGAGGAGAGAGGAGGGTGACGGAAGGGTGAGGGGAGGGGAGGGAAGGAGGGAGGGGAGGGTGAGGGAAGGGGGAAGGAGGGGGGGTGAGGGGAGGGTGAGGGAAGGGGAAGGAGGGGGGGAAGGGAGAGGGAGGGTGAGGAAGGGTGAGGGAGGGTGAGGGAAGGGTGAGGGGAGGGTGAGGAAGGGGAAGGAGGGGGAAGGGTGAGGGGAGGGGTGAGGGAAGGGTGAGGGAGGGTGAGGGAAGGTGAGGAGGGGGAGGGAAGGGGAAGGAGGGGGGGAAGGTGAGGGGAGGGTGAGGGAAGGGGGAAGGAGGGGGGAAGGAGAGGGAGGGTGAGGAAGGGGTGAGGGAGGGTGAGGAAGGTGAGGGGAGGGTGAGAGGAAGGGGAAGGAGGGGAGGGAATAAGGAGGGGAGGGAGAGGGAAGGAAGGGAGGGGGGAAGGGTGAGGAGGTGAGGGAAGGGTGAGGGGAGGGTGAGGGGAAGGGTGAGGGAGGGTGAGGGAAGGGGAAGGAGGGGAGGGAAGGGTGAGGGGAGGGTGAGGAAGGAAGGAGGGGGGGGGGTGAGGGAGGGAAGGGGAAGGAGGGGGGAAGGGTGAGGGAGGGTGAGGGGAGGAGGTGAGGGAAGGTGAGGGGAGGGGTGAGGAAGGGGGAAGGAGGGGGGGAAGGTGAGGGGAGGGTGAGGGAAGGGTGAGGGGAGGGTGAGGAAGGGTGAGGGAGGGAAGGAGGGGGGGAAGGGAGTGAGGGAGGGTGAGGGAAGGGGGAAGGGAGGGGGGGGAAGGGTGAGGGGAGGGTGAGGGGAAGGGTGAGGGAGGGTGAGGGAAGGGTGAGGGGGGAAGGTGAGGGGAGGGTGGAGGAAGGGGAAGGAGGGGGAAAGGGTGAGGTGAGGGAAGGGGAAGGGGAGGGAGGGGAGGTAAACATGCAAGGTCACAGCTCTGCCAAGCGGTTCATTACGGTTCTATCACAATTTTATCCTTATATTTTGGTTGGGGAACGAGAGGTAATTGGGTTTCAAGCACTGTTCCTGAGGGATTTAAACCCCCATCCCTCCAACCCCTTAACTTAAACCCCTCCCTCCTCAAACTCCTCCCCCACACCCCCTAACTCAAACCTTCCTCCCTCCAGACACTCACCACCACCCTCCCTCTCCCTCCAGACACTCACCACCACCCTTCCTCCTCAACAGACACTCCCCACCACCCCTCCCTCTCCTCCAACAAGACACCTCCACCACTCCCTCTCTCTCCCTCCAACAGACACCCCACCACCTCCCCTCCTCCAACAGACACCCTCCACCATTCCTCCTCTCCTCCAACAGACACTCACCACCTCCTCCCTCCCTCCAACAGACACTTCCACCATTCTCCTCTCCTCCAACAGACACCTCCACCTCCTCCCTCCAACAGACACCTCCACCATTCCCTCCTCTCCCTCCAACAGACACTCACCACCCCTCCCTCCTCTCCCTCCAACAGACACTTCCACCATTCCCTCCCTCTCCAACAGACACCTCCACCATTCTCCCCAACACACCTCACCACCACTCCCTCCAACAGACACTCTCCACCACCTCCCTCCCCTCCAACAGACACTCCACCATTCCCTCCCTCTCTCTCCCCCTCCAACAGACACTCACCACCACTCCCCCTCCAACAGACACTCACCACCTCCCTCCCTCCTCTCCTCACTCACCACTCCCTCCTCCTCTCCTCCAACAGACACTCACCACCACTCCCTCCCTCTCTCCCTCCAACAGACACTCACCACCACTCCCTCCCTCTCTCCCTCCAACAGACACTCTCCACCATTCCCTCCCTCTCTCCCTCCAACAGACACTCACCACCACTCCCTCTCTCCAACAGATACTGACCATCACATCACCAGAGGATCAACCCAACACGTTAACCCTGGGGCCAATCTTCTCCACTCTGTCACAGCTTGAAGAGATCCACATCACCCGGTCCAACGTTCCAGCCATCGGGGAGAACTCCTTGTGGGGTCTAAGTCACCTCCAGGTCCTCAACTTGACGAATAATAACATAACTCTTCTGTATGATTCTCACCTGAAGGGCATGAGGAGCTTGGAGGTAAGTGAGGGTGACAGAGGGGGGTAGGAGAGTGAGAAAGAGAGAGAATAAGAGATAGTTGGAGAAAGTCTGTGAGATATTTGTTTTTTTTATTTCAGAGGTTTGATGACATTGGTGTGTGTGTGTGTGTGTGTGTGTGTGTGTGTGTGTGTGATCATTGTTTTAGTGTTAATGTGCATGCAGAGGATGACATCAAGGAGGCCCTTTACGTCGACCTGGACAGTGTTAACCTCTATCCCCAAAGAAGATTAAGGTTGTGCTCCTTGGCGACTTCAGTGCCAGAGTTGGCAGAGATGCTGACATTTGGCAGGGAACCATAGGGAGAAATGGACTAGGCAAGTGTAATCCCAACGGTCTACTCCTCCTCAACAAGTGTGCTGCACACAACCTCACTATCACCAATACCTTGTTTAGGCAGGCCGACAAGTTAAAGGGTTCGCTGTATGGCAGCGAGACATGTGTCACATACAGCAGTCATCTCAAGGCACTTGAAAACTTTTACCAACGTAGTCTATGTTCCATCTTCCGAGTTCTCTGGGAAGACAAGAGAACAAATGTCAGTATTCTCTCTGACACCAACTGTAGGAGCATCGAGGCTACCATTATCCATGAACAACTACGTTGGACTGGCCATGTTACCCACATGGACGACAGTAGACTGCCAAAGCAGCTACTTTACCGTCACCTAACGAATAGTAAATGTAACGCTGGCGGGTAACGGAAAAGGTATAAGGATAGTCTTAAGACAAACCAGAAAAAGTGCCAAATCGACCCCTTCACCTGGGAGACGATCACTCCACACTGTAACGCTTGGAGGAGCACCACACGAGAAGGTGTCAATACTTTCGAGTTAGCCCGACTGCAAACCAAGCAGACAAGCGCCGGCGCCGGAAAGACGCTGCCGCCGCCCCTCCCCCCCGCACTATATGTAGCCCTCCACACGTGCAACATATGTGGACGACCCTGCCGGTCCCGTATCAGCCTCTAGCCTCTCAGAGCTCACCAACGAAGGTGACATCCTTAATAACTCATGTTATTTGTTATAGCTGGATGATCGTCGTACTCGATTCCTAGTGACAGCAAGTAGTAGTAGTAGTATTTTACACGTTATAGAACATATTTCACCACATGTAGTATATATTGTATATGTTGTAACACATATTGTACATGTAGTAGCACATATATACATATTGAATTTCATTTTAGTACATATTCTATTACATGTAGTAAGCACATATTTTCTTGGACCACATATTGAATCATATTTTAGTACATATTTTATTACATGTAGTAAGCACATATTTACTTGTTGTACAACATATTGTATATGTAACACATAGTATAACACATATTGTACCATATGTAGTAGCACATAATGTACCAAGTAGCTCCATATAACTAACAGCATGGTGTTGTCCTCAGGCTTTGCACCTCGACGACAACCACATCACCATACTGGCCTCCGGCACCTTCAGGAGCCTAGAGAGCCTGGAGAGCCTCACGCTAGCCAGGAACAAACTGCGGGTCATCGCCCCCAGGGTCTTCCTCCTCCTCTCCCGCCTTAGGTACCTCGACCTCAGCGGCAACGCCATCCAGGAACTCGACCCGGAAGACCTGAAGGACATCCCCGCACTGAGAACTCTGCTGTGTGCCGAGTGTGGCCTGACGAGGGTCAAGTCTCTGGTGTACAGGATGTTGCCGCTCCTAGAGACCCTAGACCTCCGCGACAACCGCATCACCTCCCTCGCCCCGGAGGAGTACATGGACCTCGACTACCTGAAGCGACTTTACCTGGATGGTAACCGGATCTTCGAGCTTAAGGATTACACCTTCAAGGGCGTGGCTCTGCAGCACCTCGGCCTGGCCAGGAACAAGATGGAGAGGATCTCGAGGATGGCCTTCGAGGACTGTTCGGTGCTGAGCATTGACTTGTCGTCCAACAGTAAGCTGCAGTACTCGTCCTTTAGGCACCTAAGTCCTGTCATCGCCCACATGCACGGACTCAACATCGCCAATACCCGCATCAGTCCCGACCACGTCAGGGAGTTACTCAAGCGAGCTTCCAGGTTGAAGAAACTTAATCTGAGTCGTTTGCATCTTAACCAACTCTTACCTAACATGTTCATCTCCCAGGCCAAGCTGGAAGAACTCAACTTGTCGAGCAACAGCCTCCGCTACGTCCCTGTCGACATCCTGCACTCCCTGCCCAGCCTGCAGTCCCTCGACCTGCGTAAAAATGAGTTCCGTGGTTTGCCAGAAATTATTCTGCGTCGTTTGGATCGCATTTATGACGTTGAACTGGACACCAACCCTTGGTCGTGTGACCAGTGCCACATCCCCTACCTTAAGATCTGGCTCAACAACTCCAAGAGCTTCAGGACAGCTTGTTACCCAGACGTGGACGCCCCCAAGTGCCTCAAGTGCCAGTCACCCATGGAGATGTACGATAAGCCTATCATCGAGATCGAGGGCTTGGAACTCCAGCCTTGTCCAGAGGGAACCTTCGACTTGGCGGCCGCCAGTGCCAGCTCGTCCAACTTCTCGCTGGTGCTGGCGGTGGTGACGGCGGCAGTGGTGATCATCCTCCTGCTGATCATCCTCGTGACCGGCATCATCATGTACAACCGTCACACCGCCTTCTACTACACACACGAGAACGACTCCAGGCACCACTTCTACGAGAACCCCGCCCTCCACTCCGACCACACTGACATCACCCTCGACGAGGACCTCGACCACCTGCCGGAGAAGGACCCGAGGTTAGACGGCCAGACGAACGCCACCCGAGATGCACCCGACACCGAAAAACCCGACAACCCATCGTCGGGAGGCAAGAAGAAACAAACCGTCGACAACAATGTGGTGGTGATTGACGAGTTGATAAGGAATAAAAATGCAAAGTCAACTCAGAACGGAAAGTCCTGAGGCTACTTTTATGATACTAACTTTGAGAGGAAAAATGTGTGATGCTTTATGAGTAACGTAGACACTGTTGCCTCCACGTCAAGTCACCACAACACTCCCAACAAAACGAACCAAGACATTTTTAAGTTTTCTCATAAACAAATATATAATACAAACACTAGTATAGCCCCCCCCCCTCGTGGTTGTTTACATAAAGTGTGTGCAGGGGGAGGAAGAAGTGGCGCTGTTTACGTGTAGACAGTGAAGGGAAAGGGCCGTGTTTACCTCACCACACCCCCCCCCCACCCACCACATACAATTATCACCACGTATTCATTGTCTATTAGTGTGTGTTGTTTATCCATTTTGTATATCATCATAAATAAGACATTGTATATTTGGCGGCGATGAAGCCCAAAATGATGATGATGATGGTGATGGTGATGATAATGATGGTGATGGTGATGATGATGATGATGATGATGATGGTGATGATGGGATGATGATGTTGATGATGGTGATGGGATGATGATGGATGAGTGATGATGATGATGATGAGTGATGATGATGATGATGAGGATGGTGATGATGATGATGATGATGATGATGATGATGATGGTGATGATGATGATGATGATGATGATGGTGATGGTGATGATGATGATGATGGTGATGATGATGATGATAGATAGAATGTTTAAAACTGCTTCATCTTCAAACCTTTCACGTATGTTGAATCTGAGGCTAGAGTTGTGGTCACGTATCTCTGATGACTGACTGTGGTTATGACCCCTTTAACCCTTACCCTTTAACCCTTACCCTTAACCATTCACGTAACCCCTTAACCCCCCTTAACTCTCCCCCATACCCCCCCTTTATAATACTTTGCAGCCTTTGTACACAGTAGACCAGAAATACAACTCATTTGTATTGTAGTTAAAACCTTTATATATAATATATATATATACATATACGTACCTATGTATATACATATACATACATATATATATATATATGTATATACATTGTATGTGTACCAAGTCCTTTAAGGGGACGTGTTAGGCCTTTCAGATGGATTACTTACTGAATGTATCACTCTTTATAAATATATTTTTGAGGGATGTTTGAAGTTATTATTAATATATGTAGATCTTTACTTTTAAATGAAGCAAAATGCAATATTAATAATAAAGGGAAATATATATATATATGTATACACTCTATTATAAACTGAAATTGGAAGACAAAAATTATATATTATAGGAATATAAAGCACAATGTGTCTCCTGATTGGTTCATTTCTTGTTTGTAAGCATGACGTCACGGTTGCGAGGGAAAAAAGCTCGCTTTGAGATTGGCTGATCAATGTTTATATAGATAATGTCACCAGTGTAAAGTCCTGCTTTGTGATTTGTCATAGTAGAGATGGGTGGCGTCACAGCTGTTACCTCCCTGCTTTGTGATTGGTCATAGTAGAGATGGGTGACGTCACAGTTGTTACCTCCCTGCATTTATGATTGGTTCTCAGTAGGGAGGGATGAACGTCCAACAAACTTCTCCTCGAGTTCTGATTGGTCGGTTGTCTGAAATAATAAGAAAATACCTCAAACTTGAAACAGAATCACATGGTTAGAGTTTTAATTAATACAATTAATATAAACCCAAATATTACTTATCCATTTTTTTATTAAGACGAAGTGAAAAAAATATAAAAATATTTTTATTATTAAATTATCAGAGGGAAAAAATAAATTATGTGCAGGATTTTTATTGCATTATCCAGAGTTGAACTAAGGTCACGAAGGCAGGTCAGAGGTCACGAGAGTCAGCGTGTTTATGTCCAGCTCTTCCAAGATGGCCGTTGTGTTCTCGGCTGTAAACAACAACAACAACACTAGAATTCCTGTCATCAAATAATGAGACATAATTTTAATGTCTCTCTATTGATGAGACATTGTTTACTATCTCTGTATATGATGTAATGTTTACTGTCTCGTCACTGTAAACAATAATAAGACATTGTTTACTTTGTCTCATTATAGAAACAAATTCAATATTGTGAGTCAAATGAGATACTTTATTTTCGTCTCTAATTTTAATAACAAACTTTAGAGATATATTCAGATATTAAATATAGTAAATTAATTAACACAGACATACTAAGTTAATAAACATAGATGTTGAGGTAATTAGCATAGAGATGTAACTAAACATTTCACTGAGACAAAAGAAGGAATTTCACTGTTGTTGTTGAATGGTTAGTTTTTGTTTTGGTAATACAATGGTCGTGCTTTACTGTACAGGCTGTAACCCAAGTAGTGCCTGTCACGCCACCACATGACACTGCCAGCCCCTGTCACGCCACCACATGACACTGCCAGCCCGTATCACGCCACCACATGACACTGCCAGCCGTGTCACCCTTGTCGCATGGAACTGCTGGGCGTGATATTTGTGTCACCCGGCACTACAGGACCTGTCACGTTGTACTGAAGGACCTGTCACATGTGGCATTTTAGGACCTGTCACATGTGGCACTGTAGGACTTGTCACGTGGTACAGGACCTGTCACGTGGCACTAGAGGGTGGATATGCCACATGACATACAGCAAATTCAAAAGTGGCACTGCAGGATGTCACACGTGGCACTGCAGGACCCGTCACACGTGGCACTGCAGGACCCGTCACACGTGGCACTGTAGGACCTGTCATGTGACCTTCAAGCTCTGTTAAAGGCACTACAGAGCTTGTCATTGGATACACTTGTCATATGGCACTGAGAAACTTGTCATATGGCACTGAGAAACTTGTCATATGGCACTCCAGGATCTTACTAGTGTCACATAACATTATAGGAGCTGTCATGTGGTACTTCAGGGCCTGTCATGTGGTACTTCAGGGCCTGTCATGTGGGACTACAGGACCTGTCACACGCGGCACTACAGGACCTGTTACAACTGTCACGTGACAATACCTGTTTTATGTTATCGCTAGGCCTGTCATACTGTACTTGGCACCCACAGTCACTTTCCGGTGTTGTAACAGTTGTGTGGCACTATCACCCGTGTCACATGGCACTATCACCTGTGTCATATACGGCACTGTAAGTTGTCATGTGACACTGTTGGGTCTGTTTTACCGGTCACGTGACATTGCAAAAACCTGTAACGTGATGCTGGAGTGCCTGTCATAGACCACTTGGCACCGTGGAACCTGTCATACAACAGTACAGGCACACCCTCCCTTGCTGGTCTTCCCCTTCACTCCTCTTACCATATGACACTGGTTGCAAAAGTCACGTTGCTCTCTCTCTCTCTCTCTCTCTCTCTCTCTCTCTCTCTCTCTCTCTCTCTCTCTCTCTGTGCCAGGGTTCATCAAAGCCTTCGGTAAACAGATCGAGTCGAGTCTTTCCATCAATCCCCCGCTGTTGTTGGTGCCCAGTATACTGTTGTGACACACCTGTATATATGTATAAACGGTATATGTATATTTTGCAATAAAAGTGTCCTTGTTCGGGGTGTTTTATCATTAACCTTGTGATAATGATGATGGTGATGATGATGATGGAAATAATGATCATAGTAACATAGTAAAAACAAAATAAAAAATTATTAATAATAATGATAATAATAATAACAGTAATAATAATACAGTAGACGGAAAGAATAATAATTTAACTAAGATTATTATTTTGACAATAACTACAGCTAATTTATACGTGAAATTACCCAGATTTTTTACTTTTTTGTTAATGGTTAAATGCTGTTTGGGGTGAATAGGTTCTCATGGCTTCTTATTGGTACAAAAACGCACATTGAAATCCGGACTTGCTGTAAGGAAGTTTATTCAGAAACCTCTTAACGGGTTGTGGTGTATTGAGCCAGTGTGGGGGAGGAGGAAACAGCTCAAGAGTTTTACAGAATTGTGAGTATTTTTAATTTATTTTGTTTTCTTAAATTGGGACGATATACTAGCTGTGGTATAGTCTCCTGTGTAAATTGACGCCATATTGGTACAAATGGTGACTAGCCTGGGATTTGAGACGGCCAAAGGAGTCTGTGGTGTTACTACTAAAAGCCTCATCATCGCTTCCACATAATAATATTCTAGTAACTCTTAATTTATTCATCCATCTTATATAAACCAGTAAATAAGATAAATACTTAAATTATATATCATATTTGTATATTATGAATTATATATTAGTGAAACAAGAACGGAAGTGGCAGCTACAGCATTAACAGGTAAGGTCGATTTATTAATGCATTTACTTTACCTTCAGTGTTTACTTTTGCATATCTTCAGTTGTAAATGTTGTTAATTAGTTTAGTTCATGTTCACATTACCTGATTAAGTTAATATAAATGTAGGTGTTTTATGATCAATGTTATCCTTGTAGTGTTATTGGTCATCACAAACAAGCCATTACGTAACCCAACACCTTGTCTTTAAGCTCCGCCCTCCTATGACGTCATATTCAAGGCCTCACAAAACACCAAGGATTCGAATCACTTCATGAACGAAGCCCTGAAGATGGAGTCATGGAACTGTGAATCCAGTTTGTCGGAGTCTTTATCAAGGTAAACCAACACGAATATATTTGTCTTGGTAAACACAACTCAGTGTTATTGTTGGTGATCCACAAGTTGTAGTATTTCTTCCCTGACGTAAATTATCGCCTGCTACGAGTGATGCTTCAGTTTATTGTGAGTGAGACGCCTCGAAGCTTCAGTAAACTTGAGAATGAGAGCGGTGAGGCAGGTGTGGTCACGCCGGCTCATTATTCACTAGACCTCCTGCCAGGCTGGACCACCTCGCTCCTGGGGCCTACTGACTGTCTGTTGCAGCTAAGTAAGTAAACCTAATCGTGCCGCTGGAAGGTGATGGTGGTGTTGTAAGTGAAGTGATTGTGGTGGTGTTGGTGCTGGGGAAGTGATTGTGGTGGTGGGGAAGTGAGTATGGTTGTGGTGGTGCTGGGAAAGTGATTGTGGTGGTGGTGGTGTTGTAAGTGAAGTGATTGTGGTGGGGTTGGTGGGGAAGTGAGTATGGTTGTGGTGCTGCTGGGGAAGTGATTGTGGTGGTGGTGCTGGGGAAGTGATTGTCGTGGTGGTGCTGAGGAAGTGATTGTGGTGATGGTGGTTCTGGGAAGTGATTGTAGTGATGTTGGGGAATATACATAACCTGCGACTACATAATAACTTGTACAGGTAATTTATTCAGGTACCGTGTGGACAAGTAGCAAGATGGTGGACCTGTCAAGACTCGGGGTCAACTCTTTTTTGGAGTTAACTTTATATAAAATAGGTAATTTATTTAGTTTTTTTTTGTTGGGTAAATTATATATGAATGTGTAGTTTCTTTAAGATACTGTGTACAGCTTAAAGACGGTGCAAAGACAGGGGCGGATCCAGGGATATCAAAAGGGGGTTCCAAGAAGTTGTGGGTGGGGGAACATGGTGAGCAAGGCAAGCCCACCCAGCTGGGAGATTTGGGGGTGCTATAAGCCACCCCCCCCAGGTTTTTTTTTAATCTGATCATATTATGGACAATTTGAGCCATTTCGAAGCCATGTGCACTTTATATATTAGGAGATATTCTGAGGTCAATAGTCATTACTTTTTACTATACAAAAACGCCTGAGTACAATACTGTATTAAAGAAAAAGTATTGGAATTTTCTGGTGAAAAGGGGGATCCAAACCCCCAGGATTCCCCTGGATCCGCCCCTGTGGCAACCTCTTTAATTTTAAGATGGTAAGATGCCAGATAATTATAGTTTCTAGGTTAATATTCAAGGTACTGTAATAAGTTATTAGGAAATTGTAGAGTTCTTAGAAATTTTTTTTCCTAAAACTGTAGTTATATAATATAAACAGTTTCTGCTTACACTGGCGTCTACACACTTCAGTACAGTGGTATGTTGGTTTAGTGGCAAGATACCCACTATGGATGGCAGAGGTCTCGGATTCGACTCTCGGACTGATCAAGACATGTTGAACAGCACGATGCACAGAGGCAGTATTCTCAAAGGTTCGTAAGTTAAATTTGTTTAACTAAAACAATTCTTTGCCATTTTTGCAGGCAAGGGAGGTGACCTGAATAAGTTTGATAGAATCATTACAGGGAATTATTGCTTAAGTCTATAGTTGTAGCTTACTATTGATATTAATTGGTACAATTGAAGGTATGAGGGCCGAGACTTGGGTGGATATCATAAACTAAGAATAAGAGGATAGTGGCGAGATATTAATTGGTAAAAGTGAGAGTTGGACGGCCAGGGGGATGGACTGGGAGGGATGAATGAAATAATTTTTGGTTTATGAAGTTAAAACATCTATCAGCATTAGTAAATAAAAAAGAGGGCCAAAAATACTTGTTTGAAAAGTTAAGAGTAACATGTTAAATTATAAGTCGGCCTATGCTGTATTTTTGGTAAAACTTATAAAAATGTGACTAAAAGGTACAGGTATAGGATAATTGGGATGATGTTAAGTAAAAAATACACCTTCAGAACAATGTCTACAATCTCACAGTATATAATAGCCCAAGTCCTTATGTACCGTACATCTAAAATCACTTAATTTAAGACCAAAGAAGAAATAGCATGATAAAATACAGTTAATAAGTCCCCAGGTAAATAAAACACTGTTCATTTCAGCACATGTTCATAAGTTGGACGTTCGTAAACTGGTAACTGCCTGAACATTATTCTAAATTGGTTGTAATTATTTCAAGGTTTATTGTTTTCACTATTTATTTTTTTACCCCAGATCGGGGGTTCCCAAACCTGGGGTCGTGACCCTAAATGGGGTCGGAAGGCTCATTAGGTAGGGTCGCAAAGAGGTCATGGGGTCGGTGGGGTCGCTGGGGTCCTTTGGGTCTGCCAGTGAAATTATTTGGGGTCGCACTGGATAGTTGACAACACTGGATGGGGTCGTGCTAGAAAAAGCTTGGGAACCCCTGCCCCAGATCCATAATCCTGAACCACCCTGTTAACATTACACATACTGTACAGTACTTGATCATACCGGTGTTAGGTGAAATTTACACCTCAAAAAACTTCTACCGCCAGTGCTATACTTCACATGCACCGTCAAGCGCAGAACCAGAAAACATCTGTTCTGTACATCTCTACACATGTCACGAGGCCCATGAAAAAACTACCAGGATTATAGAATATCCTCCAACTCTTAGCTCAAAATATTGACTACGTGGTGGCAGGTGATTTTAGTTATTGTTGGTTGATTACATATAGGTATATGGGTATGTAGCTTAAAATAAGGAGGATATTGTAAGCTGTCACTTGCATTTTCCTCCATTTTATTGATATTGTTGGGAAATATGTGCCTCCCACTCGCCTAATCTCTGGGTTTTTTGTTTACCCATGACACCCTCATTTTGCACATCATTTCTGTATTAGATTGAGTTTTGTCATAAAATTTGGTAAGAATTGTCTACTATTTAGGCCATCTATCTGTATCTAGGCCATTTGATAGACCTATGACAGAGGGTGTATCAATTATCAGAAATAAAAGGTTCAGTACTTCGTTATCACTAAAAAGGACCATTTATTATTTTATCTTCACGTGACATTCTTCATCTGATTATAAATATATTATTTGGCATAATGATAATTGGAACAATCATTTGGTGGTAACATGTTTTTAATTTCATTACTTAAGTCTTTCTAATACCAGTATCTATAATGTACCTACAAAAAACAATAAATTGAATCAATAAGTTGAATAAATCTCGAGTTTAACCTAAATGTACTATTCAGTTAATATGAATAATAAATTAGTTGATAGGGGCAATGTAGGAGACTGCATTGGAGTTCAGTCTTGATTACTGTACATTAAAATATGTAGGTTTATAACAAATGTTTTTTTATTGCAGGAGAGATCATGGTGCTCAAGGACACCTGCCTACACCTTCAACAGATACGTCAACACGGAATTATTTAGACTCTTATCCCCAAGGTAGAAAGGAATGGACTCTGAAAGGCTGCAGCTAATTTTATTATTGAAGGTAAGTAAAACAGATTTCTAATACAGTATTATTTTTTATTATACTCCTACTACTCCAGAAGTTAGTGTCTCGTAAATGATGTATTAAATTTGAATACTGTATGTATATCGATATCTATCCAGGTACAAGAAGTAATGATATGAGATAATGCAGAGTTCAAATTATAATGAATTGTTTCTTCTATAACTTACTAAAACATTTTATTAAACTAATGACAAGTTTGGCTATATAAGTTTAGGTGCTGAATATTTATTACTACATACAAACAGGTTAAAGATAAGGATAGATTAATAGGGTAATGTAAAGTTTATCCATAGTTCCATACATGAACTATGGATAAAGTTGAACATTTTAATGTGAAAACTTATCCAGTTTTAGGTTTCAATTTCCAAAGAATGTCTTCATGTAAGGCTATATGAGCAAGAGAGTTGGGCTGCCAAAACCTGATAGTTAATATATAATTTACTTTACATGCCTTTGTTGATTTTCAATATAGTTATCTGGTCAAGTAAACCTTCCTAGCACTTCATTATAAGAATGTTACTCAAAGTTTACATTAACCTGTAAATTGATCCTTGTCTTTAACCTGTCTGTGTGGCTTTTACATTTTGGTGAATAAATGTGTACAGTACAGTATTATTGTATAATGGCATGAAGATTCATTTATTATAAATTACAGTACTGTACAGTATTGGTTAATTTGTTAAATATTAAAAGATATTAAATATAATGTAAAAAAAAAAAATATCATGCATATAGATCAAGTCTGGGACCCTTGGGTTAAAAAGACCAAACTAATTAAGAGGTTTTTATAGTTTCCTGGACCTAGACCTGACCAACACGGGTACAGTCTAGAGCAAGAACTTGCCCGATATGTTCACAGTTAATAAAACTAACACTGTAAGGCCTTGGTTATGTGCAGACTCTGATGATTAATGACAATAGGCAATTTAATTTACCTTGGTTTAAAGTTGTAATTTAAAAGTGAGAAAAAAAAATTGGATAACTTTACATGTATTGCAATAGGGTTTAACATAAATATTATATATATAGTATATATTTTTTTAAAGTTAATTTATTTTCCAGATAGGTGTGTGGCAGTGCAAGACCATGGAATAATGTTTGACCTTGGTTGGTGAAACACTTCATGCTCAGGTGAGAATAAATGTTGTTGTTAATTATTTTATATTCTTAGGAAATGTACAAGCTCATTACACGAGCTGCACCTTTCTGTTGAAGTTATAGCATATTGAGGTTTTTAAACAGTGCTATAGATCATTCAGAAGTGGAGATATGAGAATGGTGTTTGAATTGGTACAGAAACAGTGGTGGCATTGTCCCATATCCTGTTGAAGCTGTAGTTAGATGCTCATTTTACGAGTTCTCAGTGCAGGAAGGCAACCAGTATACGGTACTGTATATACCCTATATATTTTGGCACAGTATTTATTTAATTGTGGTGGCTTTACCAGAGCTTTTATCTTCCCTCCAGTCTGAGTAAATATTTGTCCCAAGTCTGTAGCTGTTGAAGGAATAGAAGTACTGTACTACACACAGACACACAGGGTGTTTAGGTTGTTTTACAAAAGTTATTGGTTAAGACAGTGTTAATTATTTCAGGTTGTTGCCATTGACATTTATGAACTACAGTAAAGAAGTTAGCCAGCTAAGGGGACGACTGTGGCAGAGATGACAGGTTTTGGATGTCTGCAGCCCTCAAAGCCATGAAGAGGAATTTGTAATATTAGAGCAATTTATAAATAAGCTGTAACTTCAATGTCCTATAAATTTGACAATTATCTTGTGCTATGAAGGTATACAAATGCATTAAAGTTGTCAGTGACCATTTATAGTATTCATAAAGTAATGAAATGTTTTATGTACAGTAGATCATAATAACTAGGTCAAATTTAGTAATGTAATGGTTAGATGATAATCAAACAGGAAGTGATGGGCCAATGGGTAAATGTTCTTGTAGTTAGTAATGTACTGTAGCAGTTCTATGTGCAAAATAAAACTTTTTCAACACTATTGATAGATTTTCCTCAACACTCATCATTTTCCCATCAGTGTCTGGAAGTTACAAATCCGTGTTAAAGTAAAGAAAGTATACAATGAGCAGTTAATGTTATATATGACCACATACCAAGTAGTTAACCTTGCCTGTACACAGTAATGCAAACTAAAATTCTTAAAGGCTGTATCTAATATTGAAGAAAGTTGTGGTAAAAGGATAGTTAGTAAATTATTCTTAAGAAGGTATGTTGACTTGGTTATATGTCACTTTCTTTTTAACACTTTATTAAATTACAATACCATAATACAGGGAGTCTGGCACAAATTAAGGTCATGTTTCAGTGGTTTATATTTCAGATTAACCAATAAATATAACTAACCTGACTGGCTAGGAACCTAATCCGCCTCTTTACATCGATTTATATGGGAAAAACTGCTGCATTGTTCATATTATAATAGTTACATGTATGGATTATTAGGAGCGGAAACCATACGAATAATGAGGACTCCATGCACACTTTAATAGTACACAATAATATATATTAATTAAATTTTACCCAATGTGGAGTAGAGAAGTTGGCAAAGATGTTTTTAGTTTCTGATGCTTACATTCCCACACAAAATAATAACTCTGCAATAATTAAGACAGACAGTGAAGTTTACGCATCAACAAAATGTGACAAAAATCAACTATGAGAACACTACAGACACCATACAAAATAAGATAAAGAACAATACTTCGTCTCATTACATTTGATACACAGAAGCTGTCAGTCATTGATAACTCACAACAAATGAAAATGTTTAGTGCCTTTAAATCACAATGTAGAAGGTTCCTGCCCCAGACTGCATCCAAATTTATTGCACTGTAGTTTTACTTAACTCCTTCTTCACCACTGGTCAGCTCTCTAGCTAGTTGGGTGATTGGTCAGTCATATCTCTGTTACACACTACTGATCAGTGGAATATATTTGAGGAATATTGTTATGAAGGCAGTGTCAGTGCCTCCCTAAAGCACTTCTTGGTGACCACTGACAATGCCACCATCAGCTGCTATATCTTAAATCTACAACTGACTCCTAGCCTGCACTCACTCATCAACAGTACAGTGTAGAACTAAATTACATTCTCATAATTACATGCAACTCAGGCAGTTAATAAGTATTCGTAATGACAAAAAAAAAACTCCAATGTGATAAAATCGGATCCATCAACAACACTCACAGCCTGCTAAAGCCTTTTCCCATCCACACACTGCATCCTGGGGGGAATTTGACTAACACTTCCATAGACACTGGCTTAGTTTTAATGTCAACATATACAGGGTGTTAGGAAAGTCCCTGTACACCTGTAATAATTAACAATACAGTAGTTGTTCCTTGTTATACAGGGCGTCTTCGCTTAATGTCGGGGTTACGTTCCTGAAAATGAGACTTTATGCGAACCAACGTTAAGCGGATCAATTTTCCCAATAAGAAAGATAAAATAATGGAGTTACGTTTCCCAGCCTCCCTTTGCCCCATGAAAAAAGTTGCATATACAGAAAATCATTGCCATTTCTATTAAAAATAGTACAGTGGTCCCTCGGTTAACGAACACAATTCGTTCCAGAAGGTCGTTCGTTAACTGAAACCATTGTTTCAATGGGAATCTGGGTAATTGGTTCCAGCTCACCGAAAATTACATACAAACTAAAAATAAATGCAGTGAAGTACACTTTCTTTAAATCAACACTGCACTGCATTATATATTGTCAATATGTAAAATAAACTTCAGAATGACCAATAATTGTACTGTAAAAATAGTTTATGTTCAAGAGAGTCTCAAGCAAGAAGTTTCCTCCACTGAGCAGGGACACACACTGATGCCATTTTGGGTGTGTTGAGTGGCTGTTTGGCGTGCTAAAAACTAGTTCCCTGTACTTCAATTAGGTTAAATAATTGTTAAAATGACTAAAAACTTTAATATAAGACTTGGAAAATTATTGAATAGTACAACCTTCTTGATATTTACTTGTACTCAAATGGTAACGAATTTAAGCCCTAAAACCGATTACTGTATTGGCGGACTAATACTACAGCTGGTGAGCAGGCGAAAAATTCGTAAGGAATTCGTTAACCGAAATTTTTTCGTTAACCGAAGTGAAGAATCTTATGGAAGGTAATTCGTTAACCGAAATTTCGTTAACTGAGACATTAGTTAAGCGAGGTGATCACTGTATATAGAACTACAGTACCGGTACTGTACTAAGTTTGTATTGGTACTCACAGATGGGCAGAGGTGGTAGAGCGAATGTGGTGGGTAATGGAGCGGAGGAGGGTGGTGAGTCACAGACTCTGCGGCTGGCTCTGACTGGGGTTCCTCCGCCTTTGCTTACTCCTCCACCGTTGTTGGCGGGAATGTTTCGGCAGCAACCGTATCTCAACTGGCAGCTTCACCAGTCATCTTTATGTTGTGGAAGATACCGACACTTAAATCGTTGAAACCAGCCTCGGCTGGCCATAAAGGTCTCTTCCTTCGATCCTTCATCCTGTTTCCTTCATGTCGTCAAACAAGGATCTGGCCTTATGGTGGATAACCATAAGGCTCACAGGGGCATTGCGTTGATTCTGGTCCTCCATCCACATTGCCAGCATCTATTCCACCTTCTCTATCACAGTGCTTCTAGTACGAGTCGTCTTAGTAGCACTCAAAGAAGAACCACATTCAGCACTAACCTTAATCGTGTCAGCGTTTGTCCGGATAGTACGAACAGTTGTGGGGGTTAGACCAAGCACAGCGACTATGTCCACAGCACATTCCCCTTTTTTAAATCGAGTTAATACATCCATTTTCGTAGCAAGGGTAATGGTCTTAGGTTGCCTCTTCACTACACTTGCATCAGTAGCACTTGCTGGGCGCATGGAAGCCATTTCAAATGGTTACAGTACAGTTTTAGAGCAAAGGCACTTAAGCAAACACAAATGATGTGAAGTCATAACAGAGACTGGCTTGGGATGCTGTGACGTTCCGCGAGTGAGGGCAAAGCACCGAGCCGAGAGAGCGTAGCGCAGCCAGACAAGAGAAGGTGATGCGCCATAGAAAGTAGTCCGTGACGACGCAAAACGACGCAGTATCGGATCACCGGGATGTTAAACAAATTTTTGGTCTCTAAAATTCAGAGACGTAGTACCAAAACAACGTTAAGTGGGACGACGTTAAGCGATGACTTCCTGTACACGTATTCCTTGTTCTACTTACAGTAAATATTGGGAGTGGTATCCACTAACAACATTTACTGTGATTATTCCAAATATTTACTGTAACTAGAACAAGGTAAATAACTTTTTATATTATTATTATTCTTATAGCAGGTGCACAGGGTCTTTTCTAACACCCTGTACATCTACAAGGACCATAATGCCAACGGTGAGAGTAAACCTTACAGTGGTTACTCCACCATGACAAGAGTTCCTCAACCATAAATGAAGATCACTAAAGCAGCATCATTGAGACCTGCAACCATCTGGACCCAAAACACACATACACACCACAACAGCATTTATGTGCATGGATAACCACCACCTGCCATCCACCCCTCAACATCGCACAGGTGGTTGATAAGGCCTTTGACACAATGGATCATGATATACTATGAGAAAAACTGCAGGTTCTTGGCACTAAACTGAGGACGCTGTCCTTTTAGTGTCGGGTACAGATCCAAAGGCTACAGCTAACAAATTATCATGTGAACTAGACTTTTATTATAGATCATTTAATAAATTAAAGTACTGTAATGCTATGTTATTTTTTTTATTGAAATATCAAATGTTTCTTGACCAATGTGTGTGGGACCATTCACTTAACACTCCTACAGTATCACTAGGACTGTTCATCACGGTATTCTGCCTTAACGCATCTAAATAAAAGCCAAAAGTAAATTATTCAAAACATGATGGTCAGGTTTATTCTAGATATGAATGCAAGAAATCATATTGCCCATGAAGTCCTGCAGAATGTTAAGTGTGAAGCAGTCAAGGCTAAATCATGTTTGGTTATATGACAGCAAGAGAAACATCAGTAAAGTTCTCTCTCTGAGGCTGTGTTTCCTTTACTACCACATTTGTCTGGATGACTCTTGTTCATAAATCTAGGTTTGGGGGTTTTCAATAGGCTGTGTCCAGAGTATCTTACTGGCAGGGAGCTAGGGGAAGTCCACACAACTTAATGGTACCTGGTTAACAAGTCCAGTGATTGTAGGACTTCTTGCTTTCACGTCAAGAATGAACCTCACCATTTTGTTTTGAATAATTTGTAGCTTCTGTGTTAAGGCAGAATACCATGGTGAGCATGGGATAGTCCAGTGACATTGTGTGAGCACCAAGCAAAGGGTCCTATGGGCATTCTAAATATGTTGATTGTATACCTGTACTGCCTATAGGTAAACTGATTGTATATATACCTGTATTGTCCAGGTACTTTGATTGTAAACCTGCTTGCTCTATGTTCAACTGTGTAATACTCTGACAGTTCTCCAGTAACTTTACAAAACTTTCCTTTAGAAGAAAACTTATTTCTTACCACAAGAATATACAAAACTAGGTGTTCAAATTACAACCTTCTACAATTTTAATTTTGAAACTTGTCCACATTTATGTTGAATAAATTATTTCCCGTCACAAAAAGTTTATTAGATGGCTGGTAAGAGAGAGTATTACCCTGCAGTAGCTACAGTATACAATCAACTGTACTCTTGTATAATGATATCAATGAATAAATATCTACCTAACTACTCATTTTAGTACCTACGAGTGCTATATATACAGTGTTTATATTTCTTCTACATAAACAGACACCTACAGTACTTTACCGAATTAGTCAGGCATTTAAACTTTAAAGACCACAATATAAATAAGTCTTCTGGCTTCTTATCTTACCCTCGTAACTCTATTATATTATCTACTATTTAACAAACACTTACTTGTATCTGTAGTTCATACCTAGGATGTATTTTTATTGTATATGTGATGAATTATTAATAAAATAAAGAAACCAACCGATAGCGTGTCTCTTTAAAAGCTTCCTGTGACGTCATAAGTAAATAAAGGGACTACCAGCATAAAATATTCTTAGAGACTACCAGCATAAAATATTCTTAGAGACTACCAGCTTAAAAGTGTTGTTGTTAATAATAATAATAAATATACGAGCGTTTTTAATATTATAATACTACCAAAAGCTGTTAATAAATAAATCACTTGATATATATAATAAAACTCGCATTAAAGAATCAATACAACACAATTACGTTTTGGTTTATTATTCCAATGCTGATGTTTCCTTATCAATCGATCTGTTTTTACCAATACCTTAAAATAAAAATATATAATGGGGCTTAATAGTACAGCGCTAACCTGCATATGACACCAATATGTTACACGTTTGAGAAGGGTGTTAGCCAGTGTGACCCTCAGGTTTCGTGGTCTCCGGTTTCCTCCTGTATCAACACTGTAGAGACCAACTGCTGCTAGAAAACTGATAAGGGCTAGGATTAAAAAAAAAAGAATACAAATAAGAGTATCGGACCTACAGTCAAGCTAGGATACCGTATGCGTTTGCAGTATGTGTTTACGTTAAATTGCCCTGAAAAACGGTGACCCGTTTCCATTTGCATGCAGCTGTCATTGTGTTGGTGAGGACAGGACAGGAAAGATGGGTCCTAGTTCACCGAAGCTACGAGCCTTATATGAACAGGATGGGTTGTAATTAAACATCCTGGGTTTGTATTAGGAAACATAGATTGCTGCTGAAGCGGACCACATATACTGTAGAGACAGACTACAGTAAAACACCTACAGTAAACTTGGATGATGAAAAGTTCAAACAATTCTCACTCCGAAAAAGTTTCCCCTCACAGTTTTCTGGACTTGTGGCTTCTTCAACCTTGAACTGTGACCCCTTGTGGGGCGGGCTTCCACCAGCTCCAGGTATGGACACTCGACTGAGTACTGTGAGTAGTGCCCTTTGAGATGCCTATACACCCCAATAAGGTCCTCCCTTGCCCGTGTACTTCTCGCGTGAATGGTATCCAAGCTTAATAGGATGTACCTCATGGTTCAGTTTCTAATCAAAGTGAAATATCTCACTTACGAGTGAGGTGAAATTTACGAGAAAATTATATGAATTTTGTTGACATTATAACACAGTGTGTTAACAAGTGCGTGGCCGTCACAAACAAGACGAGTACATGATTGGTTGAACGACTTGTACCACACTTTAACCCCCATTGTCATTAAGATTGTCATACTATTTTTAACATCTAAATAATTTACCTTTGGAATGAGTTAAGTAGCTCTGGAACAAAGTGGGTAAATCCTGAAGAAATGTGAGACTAATAATTATTATTATAACATCGGTGTTAACCCGGAGGAAATAGTCTCGAAAACACTATCTGACGTCAGTCCTTATTTACGGCTCACAAAAGATTTTCATTTGACTTACTAGTATTAAGAAAAATAAATAAGAGAACTACTTTATAAATAAAATATAATATATTTTAAGTAACTTTTGGGATATTTATGTTAAAATTTACCAAAGATTGAGTAGTTTATAAGTTAATCCGTGTAAGACTCCAGAACATGACCCGGGAGTATGGGTGGGTGAATCATCTGAGGGGTGATGACAGTAGGGTAATGTTTTATGCTCTGGCCAAGGTGACACCAACCAAGGACGCCACTACAGCTATGTCACCCCAGAACCACGAGCAAGTTGTGTCTCAAGCAGTTGCCAATAGGGTCAGTAAAACAATATAGTTCTTGAGATTGATGTGAATAAACCAATAAACCGAGAATGACTTTAGGTATTTGTTGAATCAGGACAAGGATGATGATGTGGTATTCCATGTTTGTTTTAACCTATATTATTATTATTTATCTGAGTTTATGGTCTTTTTTATATTATATTTTAGTGTTTTGTATCGATCTAACCAATATGTAGGTGGAGGGAGGAGGTGGCTGTGGGTTTAATGGTAGAAACATTAATGGGAAATTTGTGTCGTATTTACATTATTTTATTAAGTACAATAAATGGGAAATAAATTTGGTAAATATTTGTTTAATGGCTGTGGCTTCTGTTCAAACCTAATCTAACCTAACCAAGCCAAACCTAACCAAGCATAACCTAACCTAACCAAGCATAACCTAACCAAGCCTAACCTAACCTAACCTAACCTAACCTAACAGCTAGAAAAAACAAATACTAAAATCTTGTCACAGTCATTCAACAAATATTAATCATACGTGTTGTCTTGGATTGTCCTTTGTTGAATTTAATTGACTTTATCTATGATTATGGTCTACCCTCTACTCCTGCTGATCCCTTGATAACTTGTATGTCATTATAATGTGTAATACAAATACTTTGGGTAAAATTTATCGTTTCAGTCATGTACCTATTTGGAAGTAGGTAAGAATTATACAGAACACTTCCAAAACCATAGGAAAAATATAATTTAGCTTAGGTTAATTTGACATTATGTTTTTCCGGTGTTTTTTTTATGTGTTTTAAACTATTCTGATTTACTTCCAAATAGGTGGATGACTGAAACGATCATTTAAAATTTTCTTGCTGTTAATTAAGTATATATACATGTAATAACAACAAAGTAGCCATGTAAATAAGTTTTGTCCTGCTCCCTGTGTTAACTGATTGTGCTTCATGTGAATTTGTGTAAGAATTGTCTTGAGTTGTGATGAGATTTGATGCTTTTTCTCCATTTGATCTGTGTATTGGCTCATCAGTTGTGTCGTCAAGGTAACTGTCTGTGTGGTTGAATTTTTCAGTATCAAAATGCTGAGAAGACGAAGATGGATGTCTTAACCGCTCTACACAACTATCGAGGACTATCACCCAAGCTCGACAAATTTGGTAAGCTGCCAAAGACGTTACACGCCAGAACATCGTGAACGTCATTGTCCATTACTGTTCAAGACATTAGATTTGGACATAATAATTGTAAAAATATTGTGCATAATACAATATTAAATAAAGTTTACACAACAGAGTTACACAACAAAGGGAATTTTCATGTTAAAGTTTTCAGATTGACCATAATTTACTCCATGGGGTCCAAATATATGTTCACACTCATTCTAACTTGTAATTATTTTTATCTTCTTTAGCAATACTACAGGTATATTGACATATACATTTTGGGAGCAGGGCCGGATTAAGCTTAATAGGGGCCTGAGGCACAGATCAACTTGGGGCCCCCTACCCTCAAGGTATATATTTATATATATATATATATATATATATATATATATATATATATATATATATATATATATATATATATATATATATATATATATATATATATATATATATATATATATATATATATATATATATATATAATTATATATCAATGATTTCATCAATATTAAGCTTCTGCAAAATAACACATTCAGTGTTCATAAGAAACAGAAAATTGAGACGTTGCTAGGACATCGTTGAACGAAGTTCATGTTTTATACGCTTCAACTTCGAGAATGTTTGGATTTGGGGGCCCCTTAGAGTCGGGGGGCCTGAGGTCAGTGCCTCAAGTGCCTCTAGTGCCTCATGGTTAATCCGGCACTGTTTGGGAGCCTGAAATTGAGTAGAAGATTTGCTGGCTCTTGGTAAGGCACCTGAATGTAGCAGGTCTTGACTTATTGTCCAAGTGAGCCACGGTCACATCTCTCGACCTTGAAAGTCATAGTAGCTACCACAAACTGTGTACAGTACAGTAGTCTGAATCATATAGTGGGAGTTTATTTTATTTTTGTTATTTTGTTGTAATCATGGTATATTATGACTTGATAGTTCTTACTCTTCTGGGTCATCATAGTTTGCTCAGAAATATAATCTCATGTTTATTATTTTATGTTGAGATAAAGCTGTAATGAATTGTCAGACTAAATGGGCAGATTAATGCATTTTAAATAAGTATTTTGAAGGCACTGATGTACAGTACTTGGATTTGTGTTTGAGGATTTGTTCTTGTATTAATTAATCTTGTTTCTAGCATAAATTGTGAAAGAACTTCATGAAATAATGTCAGTAACTATGAAGGTTACCCAATTTTACCTCTATTTTTAGTTTTTAATGATGGCAGCGATCGAGAGTTGTTGAACCTAGATGGGACGATCCCAGTACGTTACAAAGGTGAGGCAGCGTGTCAGCCAAGTCACTGGTGCTCACGTGGCTTGAGATTTGGCAGTGTACCATCCCGGGTTTGAGAACTAAAACTTTGCTTCCTGTGAAAGAGAAAAAAAACATTACCTGGTTGTGTAGCTTTATACAAGGTGTGTGGTCATGTCCAAACATCTCAAGCCTCAAGATGGGCTGTCATCTTGTAAGTGGTTCATCTGCATCATTTCAAGGAAACATAAAACATATTTTTGTGTAGATACTTGCTCATGGATTTCTAAATTAGTTTTGATGTGTTTCCTTCAAATGATGCCTTTAGTTTCATAGATAAAGTACTGTATGTTTTGGTAACTAGAAGTACCAACTGTTACACTTCACAGCTTGTTCATTTAAGTTGTGCCAAAATAAAACATTCAGTACTTTGTGGATTAGCAGAGTTCAAAGACAGCTGAGAGCACTTAGAATGTTATTAATCTCAGTGTTGGATGTCTTCAAGCTTATTGCAATTGGCAGCTTACTGTTTGGTACCGTTTGACAGACATTCTAAGCACTCTTACGTCACTGAACAAAGCATTGTGTGTCCTGGCATTGCCAACTCAACCCTCACTGTATTTTTTTCTTTTTCTTTGCAAGTATTCCGCAGTGGCACTTCACGCTACTTACTGTGTCTTGAAGGCACGATACCTGTTACGTATAAAGGTATGGTGTGGGGTGTGGCTGTTTACTTAACTTGAGGCAAGCAATAATGAGCAGTACTGGTCATATTTAGAGTCCATATAGACAGTCCCCTCTGGAGTCATCAACTAGATTTATAAAAAAGATCCGAGAGCAGTCAAAATATCACTAGTTTCTGGGGCACCTTTTGTGGCACTAAGGGTACATCTTGTTGTTCAAAATTCTTGGAGATGGTAATATTGAGAGCTGCATGGGTTCCTCCCTTCCTCTGTCATTTCCCCACAATGCTACTGCACTCCTGCACCATTGATGATGGTCCTAGCCACTACCTCATCATCTTGGCACTTTGATGTGATTAAATCCTTGAATCACTGCATGTGTAAACAAACTATTAATTGCAATATGTGTGGTAAATCCCCCTCAGTCAGTATAATATGTTAGCTACAGTGACCCTGACCTTTGACTTAAGGAAATGAAATGCAAATTTTTAGTGAAAAATTTTTCTTAATACATATTATGAAAATGTTGTGTAGTGTGGAAACTGAGACTTGTCGACAGTGGCTAGAGATGTTAGCTGTTAAGACACTTATAGAGTAAAGTACTGTAGTGGACATCAAGACAATGACTACAGAGGTAATGCCATTCAGTCTCAAGCAATTCATCCAAATTTTAAAGACCAGTTGAGTCAATAACCTTTAAGTTAATACAGTTCAGTTCAGCCACAGACAAACCTAAACAACATAGGTGAAGATAATACTTCTTAAGCCAGAACTGACCAAGGGAGAAAAACATTACCATATAGGTTTTGACCTCTCTTAGTAAGTCAATTATAACTCAAATAAAGTTACTTGTACTCTAAAGTATTTGGTTCTCCCTAAATAAAACAAACATGAAATATACCTAATGTAACACTTCATCTGACAAAAAAATAGATGGCTCATGAAAAATAATGTCATAAAAATAAAAGACCTGTAAAAAGTTCCATTATCTGTGTATGGGTGAGAGAAGAAGAAGACAGTGTGTATCTTAAACACTCGGTCATCTCCTCTAAGTCTTCTTTTCAGCTCAGGAATAAAACTTACAAACAGAATACAGTTTTGTAGATACAGTACAGTATAAACACATCATATAACCACCAGATGTAAAGTGGCAACCTCTGGTGGGTCAAGGGAACTGTACGGGCAGGTGAAGTTGTCATGTTTGTTCACATAACTCTAAATATACAGCCACAGTCAAATGAAGATCAGAATACACCCATAAACCTTCACCCAAAATACACCCGAGTAACTAAGGTACTGTCGTGCTACTCTGCATACAGTAAATAAATGTCTCGAGTCTAAGTGGAAATTAAAAATACCCCCTGTAATTGTATTGACTATATGTAGAGGTGTGAAAATAGTTGAGACTCAGACCAGTTTATGAGTGATTAGTTCTAAGGATACCATAGTACCAGACCCCTCATGACTGAAAAAGATTGTGAGTTGTCCAAATTATACTGGGCGGTGAAGGTGAATTTTGAAGCTGCTGGTGGCTGGCTTCATGGCTTCAGACAATATCTTTGATTACATATATAGATTTATGATTGATTTTATCTGATTTTATGAGTTGTGTTACATTCCATACATAACTGCAGGGAGGGAAAAGGGGTTATTTAAATCTTGCAGAACTCCACTATTTTGCTATGCTTGTAGTCCTAGGCAGTGTGAATGGTTGGATGGTCACTCTAGGAGCCATAGGAATAGGGTTGTGTTTTATGACATTGGGCGGTGATTAATAATGTCTGCGATACGTGCATTTTGCTCATCACCGCCAAAGACATCTTATATTAATAGCTGATGTCGGGTACAATTGTTAACCCCCTTTGGCTAACATCAGACGACTTTATTCAGTAGATGGTGGACCCTGTACACAAGTGTTTCAAGAGTTCTTTCTCTGCTTTGTATGAGACGCACGCGTACCTTAGATCTTACGCACCGTCGGTATATAAGTTTTCTTTTTATGTCTTTCCTACTGTGGCACTGGAGGTTAGAAATCAAAGGCAGTGCGACTCGCCTTTTATATGATCATTTGTTCTCTATTACTGCTGGAACATCTGTGGGATTCCTTAAGATTTGGCATTCCGGCTTATTTCACATGATGATTAAACACTAACGCTAAAGCAACAGGTCCTAATCCCTCCAGGTAGCATTAGGATGTTTAATCGTCATGAAGAATAATCTTCTGGTAATCCCTTCAGGTGCTGTGAAGAGAGCAAATGTAGCTTGGGTCTTTGTTGCTCTTGTTTCTGACCATCCTAGTATCAGAGTTAGTAATATAAATTTGAGGAATAGGTCATTTTGAATCTTAAAAAGATTAGCAGTCCCAGCTTATTTACCCCGATGATTAAACATTAAGTTTCCTGTTCTATGTGCTTCATGGGGAATAACAGCATTCACCTCCTGCCCCCAAGTGTCCCTGTTTTGATCACAGGGCACTACCCAACGCAGTTCGGGTAGTGAAGGTGGTCGAGTGCAGTACCGGCCATGTTGCCTCCTTGTGTACCGAAGGCTTAGTATACAGTGTGTCCCTAATGGGCAGTCATATTTATGAAACCCACTTTCATTTTTCATGTAAGGTTCAGTTAGGTTATGTTGGTTGAACTTTATGATAGGTTATTTAAATAAAGTTTAAGTTAGTAGAAGAGTGAATGGAAGTGGAAGTCTTGTAGGTGGATCAACCGAGTAAGCAAATGGTTTATGTATGAAGCACTTAAGCAGTGGAAGTTGTCATTGACTTTAGTTCTTTCAACAGTAGTAGTAGTAATGATTATACTGTAGTTGAGTTTTCCATGAGCTTTAATGTTCTTATTCCACCCTAAGTAGTTAGGAGTGTGGTAAACATAATACAAGAACGACTGTCAAGTTGATCGTACTACAGATTGACCATTTTTACTTTCTTTATTTTTTGTATAATTTATGAATTTGTTTAATTTGTGTTATAAACATTTAATTAAAACATAGGAATATTTTTTACTTTTTCATGTATAATTTGCAGGTTATGACTTTACCAGACACGGACCACTTAAGTGGGGAGAAGATCTGAACTGCAATCCCAGTGTGTAGTTACTCTAATGATGCAATACTCCGTGAAAAGAAGAAGTTTTAGCGTTATCACCAGTATCACTTGTTAATACACACACAAGTTTCAGAATATCATAGTTTTTCTTTTTTCTGTTGAGGCACATGGTCATTGAGGCTATCCTTCTAGAGACAAGCACCACACCTCTCAGGATTTGATGTGTTGCATGCAAGCACCAATATTCTTCCTACTTGTTAAGGATGGAGACTATAATATGATAAACGTTTGGTGTGAAAATGCCTCTTCCTTTCTCATAGTAGAATTAAGCTTACTTCTTCAGTAATGTTGTTCACTCGATGATGACCACGTTCTGTGTTGTGTCTTATAAATAACATCAAATTGGTTTTAGTTAACAATGTGTCAGTTAGGTTTAATATGTAGCTGAGGTATTATTCACCTTCAAATTATCAGCAACTTGTTTGGTGTGGGTGCTGAAACACAGATCACCTCAAATGCCATGGCAGCCAGTAAATTACACTGGCCGTCAGGTTGTTATGAAATGTGTCGATTAATTTATCTCGTATAAAGGAAATGCCTTATACAGTGCTGTACAGTCCTTCCTGGAGGAACCTTTCCTTGGCCACCTGTGCCTCCCTACCAAATTTCAACTCTACTCTCAAAATTGTGGGAGTGAGTAAAGAACGCACACACACACATATAGAATGTATTTTATATTCAGTGATTAGATGGCCAAGGTGTCTTGCAGGGGGATGGGTTGTTGTGGATTGCACAATACATTCATGTAATTTCTTCTGGCAATAGACATTTGCTCATCATAGCAAAAGACTTGACTTGACAGTGGACAAGTGAAAACTGGACTGTTCCATTACTGTACTCATGATTGGCAGTGGACAATGTTATATGCAAAAATGAAACCCCAGCAAAGATTTTTTTTTTCAGTGTGTGTGATGTATTTGTCTTGTAGCAAATAAATATTATATTTTTAAAAGTACAGGATTATATAATGAAAACCAATAGTGATGTAGCAGGACATCTCGACTTATAATATACAGTATTCCACCAACTTAATGCCCCAGTTTTTAGCATTTTTGACCATTCAGTATTAGTCTTCTGAGCACAATATCTGGAACCAAAATGTTGCTGGATATTGAGGAGTAATGTAAACCACTTACTCTGGAAATAAGTCTTTTATTCACTGTACAGTACATGTACTTACAAATTTCTAACTGAAATAGGAGGATGATGGGTGAAGTACGATGTTGGAATGCGAGGCGGGATTGTGTTGACCCTGTGCATCAGTGCAGAAAGCTTGAGAAATAGCTTTAATGATAGGAATGGTAAAGCAGCTACAATCAAAAATATTATTACCCCAGACACTAAGAATAAAATAAATCATATGGAAATTTGAATAGCACTTTGATTAATTTGTGTACAAAAACTTTCAAAATGATAAGATATATTGAGTGAATATTTATAACCTGTGTTTGATACACATAAAGTGGAACACATTGTACAGTGTAGCATATTAATGGGTGAGAGGCAGTAGGGTGTTCTCAGTCAGTCTTTCACAGTTTTTGTTTTAAGAAATTCGGACTTTTATGTACCATTTTGCCACATTGGTCCCCAGAGGTTCACATCCCCGCTGGGCAATGTTAATAGGCTTTTACTCTGGGTACTTTTGGGTGCCGCCTTACATTGCTATTCCATCAGCTAGTACGAATGCTCTGCTTGACGTAAAGTATATACGGGTACGTAATTGGCTTTTGGAGTATAACGGGTGCACACATAATGCTTTAATGCTTAAGGGGTCAAATGTAATGTATTAAAATTACTTGTTTTTTTTTTTTTTGAACAAGCAAGATCAGAGTGCTGCTGTGATAGTACACTGTAGTGTATCTTTGACTAGCAGTCTATAAAACTCTAGATATGAATACTGTGTTGTGTGTTTGCTAGTGCTCTTGAAATTGTTTAACAAGGAAGAGTCATTTCTGTGACTCGTCGGTGCCATATTGTGACTATTATAGATGCAATGGAGGCCAAGTTTTTTGTCGTGTTATTTTTGTCAGTCATTAATGGAATGCCATAGTTCAGCTAGTGAGGTTTGGGGCTCTTGGAATTCCTTTTGTTTTGGTTTTGTGTTTTGGTTTTTTCTTGAGCTTGAGTCTGTCGGTGTGGATAGCGTCACCAACTTCAACTGTTGCTTCTCTGCTAGAATTACTTGCTACGTGCTTCTGCTTTAACCACCACCACCTTATTTTGACTGCTAAAGCCAGTGAGGACTTTTGTGTTATACTGTAAACCTAATTCAGTATGGGTAAATTTGCTTTGCTACAGCTAACAGTGTTTAAAGCATGCCTTATGTTAAGTTCCTTTTGTTTACAGTTGTTTTGGATTGTAAATATAAACAGTCTTTTGTTTTTTGTTTTTTCATTTGAATGCATTGTCTTAAGTTTTGTAGAGTTGTGATGTTACTTGTGTTTGGTGAAGAATATTTTTGTTAATATTTTTTTTATTATTACTGTTACAATTATTCATGTAAGCCAGACACTGAGAGAACAGTTAGGGTTATGAGAAAAAGACTTGTGTGTGTGTATCTAGATTTTTTTTTTTAATCAAACTCAAATGCATTTTGAAGTTGGAAATAATAAACATATTATTGTCCTATAGATATATGTAGAGTAAGTTAGACCTTGTTCAGAATTTTAGTCAGTTTACTCTCTATTGCCTCATTATTGTGAGTTATAGGTCATATAAACCATGTGATAATTTTGTTGTCATTCATGGTAAAAACTTTAGTTCCAAAAATTTTCCTGTTAGTCTTGATTCAGTTATGTTACGACCCCACCCAGGACTCTGTTGTGAGATAGTTTTGTCTTATTCAGGTGCCGTTTACAACATACCAATCTGCATATGGCTGTTGGACAACCACCCCTTCTCCTCGCCTATGGTTTATGTTAAGCCCACTCCCGACATGCTCATCAAGGCCTCCCGTCACGTCGACCAGAACGGCAAAGTTTACCTCCCGTACTTACACGAGTGGAACTTGGTGAGTGATTTTGTCTCTATGGCTCTAACAAATGGTTTACAGTTTACCTCCAGCCCCTCAGCTTGAACAGTGAAGGATATAGCAATCATGTTGTCACTATTGGTCTCTCTCAGGACATCTTTTCGATTGATTTTCTCTGGAATTATTATGAACAGACGAATGAAATATTTATTGAAGTGGGTACAGGTATAGACCCTCAAACCCAGGGCCCTTGGGACTAAGATCAAACTGGTTTTGAGGATTTTCTGGTATTCCTGGGTCATCCATGATATCCCAGGCTTACCAGTAGACTACATCAAGTTTCGCTTCCACACACACACTCACAAACTCAATTGAACATGTATTTTACTTCTTAAATAACAAAATAAAGAAAATATCATTGTACGTATACTTTAAATAAAAAAGAATTATCAAATATATTAATTTTTACAAGTTGAGAGATCCATAAGAATGGTCTACAATACATAGTATCATATCTTGGGTATGTTTATATCTGACTCCATGAAGAAAATTTAGCATAAGTCGGAAGATGATGACGTCCAGTTTTTGAGAATCCCCAGTCTTCTGAGATCCAGTTTTGAGAGTGTGCCTGTATGGAGCTTGGGGGGTGGGGGGGTGATTTTCATTCCATCTGCTTTTGTTGCTACACACTTTGGCATATCCTTCAAACTTTTTTTTTCAGTCAAACAAGCCATTCCCAACCATGGTTCAGGGTACAGTAGTTGGAATCATGAGCTATTCTAGACTTTTGCCTAATTAGTGTTATAGTCCATTATCTCTTAACCTTTGATATCCTACTGGTAAGTTGCATCCTGTGTAGTAGGATCACTACCTCCCACGTGCCTGTATCAGTATTCAGAGGAAGTTGACTACTGTATGTTAGATCTGCTCCAATCACACAGGTTTATCCCCCTCTTACTTATCTATTATGCAACAGTTCCTATTTATCAAGATGAGTGTGGAGTAAGGTGTGTAGACAGATTTTAATTATTTGCCATGTCATGTTTTGATTGAGGGGTAGTATACAATGTCAGACAAAGACTTGGTGTTGAGAAGACTTTTCATTGTATGATCTATCTGATTGAGTGATCTCATCCTCTCTGTTTTTTTCTCTGTATCTCTAGTGTAAAGTACTAGAATCTGTATTCTGGTTTCTACTTTCAGAATTCCTCAGATTTGCCAGGTCTTATTCAGATCATGATCATGACCTTCAGCGAGATGCCACCAGTGTATTCCAAGCCCAAGAGTGCCCAGCCCACCACAGGAGGCCCATACCCAACCCCATACCCCACCAACCCCCCAGGTCTGTTGATAAACCCCATTGAAAGTCAAATCAAGGTCTTAACATATTGAGATTTCTCTGTACAGCTCCTGATTTTAAGATGTTTCGCTGGCAGTGTTTGAAGTTATAAATAAGATCTTCTCAGTGTTATCAATGTAATTCTTCTATAACAGGTATTAGGTGTTGGAAGTAAATATGTTCCTTTATCTGTTGCTGACGAGGTGGTACAGATGTATCTTTCACCAGATTTTTTGCACATGAATACGTACTCTCACACACATTGCCTTTGCCGGGTCTTAATTATTATATAAATATTTTTTTTATAATGACACTCCATCTTGATGTATATATGCCTGTGTAATTTGGCATTGTTTATTTATTAATGTGAGAGAATATTGCTTGAGATTGCCCAGAACGTTTAGAATGTTGTGAATGTATTAAATGGTGCTTATTTGTTAATGTATTATTAATTTTTTTATTCATAGAAAACATGTCTCCAATTATAGAAAGGAAATCATATTATTACTGTAGCAATTTATTTATTAGATGTTGACTTTGCATTTCATACTGTTTATTTTATTTCAAATCTCATCCAGTTTCTCATAAGTACAATCATAAAGTTATTCCTGTACTAGACTAGCTACATATGTATTTCACCAACCAATATTATGTTTAGTTTTGACTTATAATCATTGTGTGCTCCATTTTAAACTATGTTGAGGAAGTATTTTATTGTTATGGGAGTCTGTGAAATGGAACCCTTTCATAAATCAGATTTTTTTTTTTTTTTTTTTAATTCTATCATCAGTTAGTCAAACTCCTTTCTGAAATAAATTAATGCTTGTACTTCAGGATATATGCCAATGCCTGGAGGAGGTCCAAGCCTACCATACCCTGCAGCTCAGCCCACCGGTACTGGAGCTTATCCATCTTACCCAGCTCAACCAGGCTATCCACCCACCAGCACGCCGTATCCCGTCTATCCACCAACCAGCTCGGCGGGTTATCCTTCCACCCAGCCCGGGCCTCCTGCTGCTTATCCTCCACCATACTCAGCGATGCCGTACACGCCATACCATAATGCTACGCCAAGCCTCACGACACAGGTGAGTCTCGAGGTGTGCGTGCGTGCGTGCGTGCGAAAGTAAAGGTTGTAGGAAATTCATTCGAGTATGGTAGGAGGGACTATTGAAGTTGTGTTTTCTAGGTAAAATTATATTCAAAAGGGGATGATACACTGGTGATACTTTGTTTGTTTGGCCCCAACCTGCTCTTAATATGGGCCGGTTGTCTCTGTTTGTTCGATCATCAGCAGCCATACAGGAATTGATTTCATTCTAGTTTATCACTCGGGTCACTGGTAAGACACCTTATCCTTATGAATGTCGTTTTCTCTTGTAATCTGATCCTGTATGGTTGACTGGTACTCATTTCTTCATTTTCATTCATTACTGAGTATTTGAATAATATTTTAATTACGCCGAAATAAATACACATTGCATTACTTACGTTAAACTATATACCAAAGTAAATGCACATCCCAATATCTATCATCTGTAATCTCACAATGTTTCACACACAGTATAGACAGATACTGTTTTGAGGTACTATATGTTGCAACCAAACCTCCTACACAGTTAAAGAACTGTAGTGATTTCAGTTTGACACAGGAGGGTCAGTCACACCCCTTACTGCTCTAGTTATATCCAGGAATAGTTATTCATGTTATTGAAATAGTAAAGTACTTGGTCATAGTTGTTCTGGTTGATATTTGATTATATACCTAATTCATGGAATATGGGGGACTAGTTGCTCTATCCTTGACAGTTCTTACCCTGGACACATCGACTAGATTAGAGGAAATCCTCACAGTACTATTAAGGTTTTCCGGGTAGGGTCTTTCCTTCACACACCTGCTAGGTCGACCCCATAATTCTTCTTCACTTTAGCCCACAGCAACTGAGACGAATACAACAGCAGCCGGAAACACTGGCACCATAACAGAAGAACACATCCGAGTGTCACTCATCTCGGCTGTGAGTGACCGAGTCCGGGCCAAACTGCGTGATAGTTACGGGGGTTCTCAGGCTGAGGTGTCTGTATTGAGGCAACAACAGACTGACCTTAACGAGGGGAAGACCAAGGTGGAGGGACTCATCAACAAGTTAGAACAAGAGCAGGTAAGGCACTTGAAAAATTTGTCCGCATATTTCTCTGTATACATCAACAATAGGGAGGAGCAAATAATAGGTATAAAATTGAATATAAATATTAACAGAGAATTGTTTACTATCTAATTTTATTTTAAGCAAATGGGGAGGTTAAGTGAACAACATTTGTCCTGCAGGGTTCATAAAACAGATGGCAAGCACATATGAAGCAATATTTGGGAAAGGGGGACATTTTTATTTTATTTGGGCATTTTTACTTCATGAGCTCAAATTCTTTTAATATTTGCCAGTCTGGGATGCCATAACCGCTTTCCCAACACAGTAGTGAAAGGGTCTGTTTAACATTGTAATTTTATTCTCATCAGTCTGAACTGGACAAGAATGTGAGAGTTCTGCGGGAGAGAGAAGCCGAGATCAAGTCTGTGTTGTCGCGACTCTCCTCTGCCACCGAGGCTCCTGATGTAGACGAGGCTGTCACCACTACCGCTCCCCTCTACAAACAGTATGTGTCTTTGTGTTGCTGTGGTAATACTTATTTTTGTTTGGATGTGAGGATTTAGAGTTGTAGCTGTTGAGTTTGGAAATGCCTTCAGGCCGTGTCTCCCATGTGTGTGTGTTATCGTACAGCGGCTAACTCATACAAGACCAATATTGCCCATGTATTCCCATATTTTGTTCCTGTTTCTGGTACTTTATGTTTAGTCTCTCTTTCCTTTTCTTCCTTTATTTTAATGTAAGTCAAGGGGTGTATTTTACTTAGTACTGTATTCAAATATTGTTTTAGTTTTCCTTCTCATGTATGTAGGCCAGTTCAGCACTTCAGCTCAGTGATCTATAGACTGTGTTCTGTGTGGTTGCAGGCTCCTCAATGCTTACGCCGAGGATCAAGCGACACAGGACGCCATATACTACTTGGGAGAAGCATTGCGGCGAGACGTGATCGATTTGGATTCCTTTTTGAAACACGTCCGTTCCCTCTCTAGGAAGCAGTTCCAGCTGCGTGCGACAATGATCAAGTGTCGGGCCAAAGGCAACATGGCCGGTTAAGATGCTCACTATAACACAATGCCAGTTAGGAGGAAAACATCCCCTATGTCTCACTGAGAAGCAAATCTAATGAAAATTGTCTGATGTTTCCTGAAATAATTTTCATAATTGTTCGTCACATTTATAGGAAGACGTTTATGATTAAGTAATCAACATCGCTATATATCTTCATTCAGTGTGCATATTACTAAGACATGAAGGTTAGCCACTTTATGAAGTACTGTATGACAGGTTTTGTGTTATGGGCACATAATTAGCCAGTGATTGCAATATCAGTGTTTGTATATCACAACAGTTCTTCAGTCACTGAGGTCTTCAGTATTAGTATAATAGATATTTAATTAGTGGCCATTGTATTTATATCAATTGACCAGCCACATTCAGGAGTTAACATTTTTGTTGATTAAGTTGGGACTGAGAGACAAGTTTATTCTTTATACATTAGGCAGCATTTGTTTCTGGGCGACAAAAAATTAAATTTGCCTTAACCTTAAACAGATATATTAATTCTGATATTAGATGAATTGTTAACTTTTATTTTACCATTGATGCAGGAAAATGTTAGTACTGTATTGCCCATTATTTTCATTGTCTGCTGGCGAGAGTAGTGAATACTGTACTGTACTTTTGATGTTGAAAAATTCCTAAAGAATTTGTTTAAAAAAGTTTAACAAAGCGCAATGAAAATTATGCCAGTGTCCACTATTGTGTGCCGCTTCATTTGACGGGTCTCGTTATACTGTATAGGGTACTGATTGGTGTAAACAATGTGACGCAATAAGCTTCTCAAACATGACATTATACAGTACTAGTTTGCTGAAATCATATTGTTGGGAATGAGTGTGGATTATACCTTATTGTTATGCAATGAAGAGAAATTTGTAATTATGTTTGATAAGTACTTGAGTGCTTATCTGTAAGTGTTAATCTGGGATCAATACAGATTAAGAACTTGGACGTCAAGCTGTTCATCACAATAATTTGAGGAGTCACAATTTTTTTTTTTTTTATTATTAATGTGTGTTTTGTAACTAAAATAAGTATTTCTTGTATGGGATAGAAGCTTATTAGTGATTTAAGATATCATAAATTGTTGTAAGGAACTATTATTATGAATTGTTTTACACATAAATGGCTTCACAATTGACTATTTATAATGCACTGGTATATACCCCAACCAGCACTGTTACTTGCTTGTGATGCTGTACATGAGTGAGTGTCTTAGTTATGTAACCGTTGAACCTTCTTGCTGAGTTACCTTCATGGAGTGGCAAGTGTAACAAGAATCTGAGAGAAGGTTATTCATAAGGTACACATGTGATGCACTTGAGGAATGTTGCCACTACACTCGAGTAATATTTACACTTTGTTCACTTGTCTGAGGCTCTTGTATGTAAGAGAAGGATAAATAGTACAGGCTGTGGCAGAACATTGATTTAAAATGGTGGGCAAGTGGGTGTAGTGAGCCAATGGTGGGTAAGGGGGTGCAATGAGCCAATGGTGGGCAAGAGGGTGTAGTTAGTCTATGGAGGGGGGGTTCTCAGTACATGTGTGCTAGTACAGTACCAAGAGGTGGCAGAAATTTTCGGGATCTTTCTAGCTCTCGGTAGGGTGTATTAGCTACATGGGACAGAGCTCCCTGGAACCTCAGTAGCAGGTACCTCAAGGACAACTCATGTCTCTGTGAGAATAGCTTTAACCTGCACGGGAGAGATGGGCCTACATCAGGTATGCCTTGTGATCAATGTGCTGCTGCATATTCCAAGCTCACTGTCCAGGTCATGTACTTTGGTGAGTGCATGACATGTATATATAGCAGTGAATTGGAGCTTCACTGCTCATCAATTCTGCTGAAAACTTATGTTGTTTTATGCCTGTCCCTAGTTTTGATGTTTATGTATTATATAAAGGCAATTATCCATAATTTTCTTTTGTATATATTAGTTTTAAGAGAGAAGTTTGAAAGTCTGGAAACTAATTGAAATAAAACTATAAATTACATCTGTTCCTGATATATTACTTTTATATCTATTGAATTTATGGTTGGTCCATTTTAGAAATTGGGTTGAACATACTCTTAGCCACAAGCATGTTGGAGAATGACTGACCAGCTATAGACAGGCAGGTTGTGAGACAGACCCACAAACCTTGGAACGTCATCATCATCGTCATTGTCAATATTTAATGCTCATTTTCCATGCTTGTTTGGGTTAGCCTAATATTCTGCACAGTTGTTAATGTTAAATATAGGCTTAATGAAACAGAATTCCTAAATTTTAATATACAAGGATACCCATTTAAAATTTTGGGCATTCTCTTTTGACAACCCTGCTGCCACGGTGTATGACTGGCTGTATGAAGCAATACACCACACTCAAGGAAGCAGTTGTTCTGGTCAAATCAAGGAAGAATACTGTAATCCTTTCAAGTCATTAAATTAATATACTACTCAACATTGCTGGAATTTATAAAGTTGTACATTTTCCTACAGTAGCCCAGTAAGTCGAGTGTTATTTATTTTTGTTTTATTTTTTAGGATTTTTCTTTCTGTATGGTATTATATATCATTTGAAAATATCCCTTTGTTTTCTTATGTCAGATTTATTTCCCAGGGTGTAAGATGGACTGATAATTTTTGTCGGTAGCTTTAGTTTTCTTAATGTTTTCTTTCTTCTCTTTAATGTGTATGACAGTGCTGTGGTATCCATTGCCTTTGTGTGAAAATGCACTCATTTTTTATTAGAGTTACACAGAATATGAGTATTTTCTTTCTAGGTAGAGAGCGAGAGAGAGAGAGTATTGAGCACAAAGGTTACCGCGCCATGTAAGGAGTTGGAGTAAGTGGTTTAACGTCATCACGTCTTTATAACTTTTCTTCGGGTGATCATTGAATGCTCATATTTAGCTTTGTAAATACTATGTCACACTCGAGAACTATGACCTGCGTACTTTATAATCTGTTACACGAAGGACTGTTGTAAAGTTTTTCAGGATTCCCTCCTAGATGTAGAGCTGTAGGTCAGGTAGGTTTTCTTCACATTATTTGGTCACAGAGACAAATTTATGGTAGGTTTATAATATTGCAAGTGTTTGGTACTTTGTTGAGTACTGCAACTGCCATTAATTACTATGGCATGGGTTATCATTGGATGGCGTTTGCATGTGCCATTACAGTAGTTAACTAGGCAAGGGTTATACTAGTTTTTATATTGCAAGTGCCACAGGTTAATTAGACAGGATAAAAATTTGTTTATTAGTAGTTTGCAAGTGCTATTGGTTAAGTTGGCAAGGGTAGTCAATAGTAATGTCAAACCTTCAGTTGTATAAAGATATCTGTATATTATGATACCCTACCTGTTGTATCACCCTCAGGTCAGTAAAGGCTTACCAGTGTCCTTTACATGGCTTCAAATGGTAGAATGGGGTGACTGGTGTGCCTCTTACGGATGGCAGTGATGTATTTCTATTTGAAGAACCAAATTATAACTCCAACTCAGGTGAAGTAACTGGTCCTAGAATGCAGATGACATGTTCACAGGCTCGGTCAAATGTATCATTAGTTGACAAAAGGTAAGCACATACACTATTCCAGCATCTAGATATACCATGCAAGTACTTGAGTTTATCCTGTTGGAGGTACAGTAAAGTATTGAGTTTTTTTGTCATCTCTTCCAAGCTTCTTCCTTATCTGCTGTAAGTATACTGAAGCCAAGACCAACACACACACTTCCTCGGTCTTCAATTCCGGCTGCTTAGAATGAATTATTTCCTTATTTAATCATTTCCATCGTGTATCACTGCTTTTTCATTAATCAACATTTTCTTTTATACATAAGGATTATTATACAGAAGTTGAATTTTCACTCAATATCACTCGTGTCTTATACTAAATTCCAGTTGCCTTATTTACATTAACCTCTGTGGACAAAAACTTTTCTTCCCTCTAACATACTTTATTTACATTAACCCTCAATGACGTAACTTTTTCTTCTGTAGCAAATTTTGTCCGCTTATCTAGAGAACAAGAGATTGAAACTAGGTGTAGAATTAAAGTCAATTAGTTCTCTAGGTCAGTCTAAGGTCACCAAATGGTCAAAAGGTCAAAGAAGGTGGTTTAAAAGGAGACTATAATGATTGTCTACAGTCATACATCTAGTCATTCTCCAGAACATAGAATCACATACCTATCACTAACTCAAAATTCTCATCACCGAACCTTTTTAATTACTGTACATCCATTTTGTTGTTTTGTCTTACCCACTTGGAGGAGGAGTCAAAACAATGAATCAGTCAAGTCAGTATGGTATATGGGGAAGGGAAAGCCTGTTGCGTCGAGGTGTCCATTAGATGTGAAAGCTCCATCTAACGGATTACTGCCTAAGAAGGTAGAAGTCCGTTGTGTGGAGGTTTCATTCTACTGTATACCTGTATTCTATGTTACTGTATACTGTACCTGTATTCTTCTATGGTACTGGATAATACTTTTGAGATATTACTGTATAACTGTATATTCCTCTTACCTGTAATTCACCATGATTTAAAAAGACTGAGGCAACTTCTAATAGCCAAAAACACATTCAGAATTTCACCTCGGATTCGTATGTTCAATATTCCTCCGATATTCGGTTGTACTGTTGGGCTGTTAAGGTTAGTCTTGTGCTCTTTCATATACAAGAAGATTTGGAAACTAATGCCTGTTGTAGATAAGGAGTTTAATAGGATATTAGGAGAATTATAGTACAGTATAAGGAGAAATATTATAGTACAGTATAATGAGAAATATTATAGTACAATATAAGGAGAAATATTATAGTACAGTATAGGGAGAAATATTATAGTACTTAAATGGAGAAATATTATAGTACAGTATAGGGAGAAATATTATAGTGCTTAAATGGAGAAATGTTAAGGTACAGTATAAGGAGAAATATTATAGTTATGGTGCAATACAGAATAAGGAGAAATATTTATACTGTAACTAACTGCCTGGTGTAAATGTCATCTGCATTGTGGGGTTAAGTTTGTATCGGGCCATGATACTACAGCAGCGATTTCTTAAATGTCCAGAACAAGTTGGTGCTGTAACCGAACTACAGGATGCATTCGAAATAGACTTTACCGAATGCGCATTGTGGGAGATAACCTAACCATATTTAGACTAGATGACACTTCTCAAAAATATACATAAAACCCAATAAATTTCTACTTTTATTTTTAATTGAAACTGAACATAGGAGCAAAAAACTTACAGAAATCTTATATACCCAGGTAACAGGTCTAATAAAGTCGTATACAGTAAAAAAACTATTTAACCGACTATACGGAGAGGAAAGTTCATTATATCGAGGGTCTGTTAGATGTGAAATCCCCATCTAATGATTATTTGGGGAGAGAAGTCCATTATATAGGGTCTTACTGTATAAGTGGATTTGTTATATATGACCAGGTGAAAAATATATGTTCTGAACCATCTTGTATACCTGCTGTACTTTATAACCAGGTAACGGATACTTGTGTGATTAACGACAGGTATATGTATGTTTAACTTATACATACATAGTCTACCTATTGTATCTGAGGATCAGGTATCATGAATTATCATACATATGTTCACTTGTTGTACTTTATGGTGAAGTAACATATATATGTATGATGAATTATTATAAATAGTATGTTGATCTGCTATGTACAGTAGCTAAAACAACCACCTGTGTATACTTTGTGGGAAACGTGTGAGACCATGGACAATAAATTTTGGTATATGAGGGCTGTCACTAGTCACACGTAACATTTCGGAGCACATCGACCCCAACCTGCACAGATAGTTGTTTTTTTTTAGCTATTGTTTATAATGGATTAGTAGCAGGTATGTCAGGTGTACGCTGATCGAGATCTGACAGTCAGGAAAGTGATAGCCCAGATATGTGTTGTAGGTTTTTTGTTTTTCATTACCAAGATGACATAGAGTAGAAAGATTTAGACAATACAGATTTACTTTGATGAAACACTGCTCTTATATAGGTAGATAGTACACACAGAGTTACACTTGAGTTAAATCAAAACACCTCATGTTAAAGCCTATATGGACCTTCTGTGATTGGTAACATATGGTTGAACCTATTTTAATTATTAAAACACTGCTGTTATTCATGTAGAAACATCTATCACCAATATTATTATGATATTGTATACGGTATTTTTTTTAATCCTTATTATGTCATTCAGTTGAGGTGTTACGTGTTGAGTTCTGAACTGTCTTCGAGGGAGAGTAGCTTTGACAGAGTGAAGGCTTCATCCTGTGTCACAAGTAGGGAGTTTAACTTCAGGGAACAAACTGAAAAATAGCACATTGTTTAGACTGTAGCTGTGTGTCTCTCTCTCCCTTCAATATTCGCTCTCTTCTTTTCTCCCTTTATCCCTCCCATGTGCCATAATCTGTGGAGTGGAATGAGTGCATCACCCCTCACAAGACCCTGTTGGAGATACGAGTATCCCCAACTGTGTAAAGTGAAAATGACTCCCTTTAAAGTCCGGGCTAAATCAACAGTGGCACACATTCAAGTACTGTACTGTGTATGAAAAGCATGTGTATTTGTGTGGCCAGTACCTGCCACAAGGCCTACACAGAGGACTGACTGGATAGTAAACAGAGGATTAGTTTAAGAATGACACTAGAAATGTTATCAGTTGGGTCTGAGTTGGTTTAACTTAAGGCTCTCTCCTTGAGCGAGTCAAAATTTTTATTGACAACCAATAAAATGTTGTATGTAGTTGATGGAGTGGAGTGAGGCACAGACACTTACACATTATGGCCTCAAACAATTAGTTTTTGTCACGTGACTCGGAAATCAGTGGAGTTCAATAGACGTTTATGTGTAAGTAAATTTACAAAATAAAACCGGAATCACTTACTTGATTTAAAAGGAATTAACTTCACTGACAGACAAACACCACAAGAATAACAGAAGATGATCCTCCCTCTCCCTCTCTATCTTCTATGGCTCTACACAACCACCTGGAGGCTAAGTCAACACACAACCACCTGGAGGCTAAGTCAACACACAACCACCTGGAGGCTAAGTCAACACACAACCACCTGGAGGCTAAGTCAACACACAACCACCTGGAGGCTAAGTCAACACACAACCACCTGGAGGCTAAGTCAACACACAACCACCTGGAGGCTAAGTCAACACACAACCACCTGGAGGCTAAGTCAACACACAACCACCTGGAGGCTAAGTCAACACACAACCACCTGGAGGCTAAGTCAACACACAACCACCTGGAGCTAAGTCAACACACAACCACCTGGAGGCTAAGTCCTTTAACCACCTGGAGGCTAAGTCAGCACACAACCACCTGGGCTAAGTCAACACACAACCACCTGGAGGCTAGAACACACAACCACCCCTTGGAGGCTAAGTCAACACACAACCACCTGGGCTAAGTCCCAACACACAGCCACCTGGAGGCTAAGTCCCAACACACAGCCACCTGGAGGCTAAGTCCAACACACAACCACCTGGGCTGAAACCAACACACAACCACCTGGAGGCTAAGTCAACACACAACCACCTGGAGGCTAAGTCAACACATAACCAATAAGAACATGTGGCTGGGGTGTGACCCTCTCCTTCCTCCATAGATCGACACCGCTAAACCAGATCATTGAATGTGCAAGTAAAGTAGTTTCGTCATTTAGATAAAAAAACTAAACAGTATCCATGGTGACATTTGCAGAATCAGTGTATACATGGAAATTTTTTTATGATTTTAGTACATGCATACACAGGCCTACATGAATAAGGTATGTATAAATGAATATATTGTATTGTCTAGAAGTAACAAGGTCCCAGGAGTGTATGTGCTGAGACTTACGAAGGCTCAGATGTGGATGTTAACTCTAGGATAAAGAAAACCTGATCAAATAGAAATTAGAATCAGGTTAAAGGCAGTCCATTGCATGATCTGTTGCCATAGCCAGATGCACCAAAAGTTTAGATTTGTGGTCTTTACATTATGCTAATCAAGACTACTAAATCCACAAACCCGTTCTTGAGTTATATTTGGGGATACACAGACGTAACAAAAAAGACAGACAGAAGGAGGAGCAAAAAGACAGGTAGACAGAAACATACGGATAATCAGAGACAAACAAAGACATTAAGATAAATAGATAAATAACCAAAGACAGACAAACAAATGGATTAAAAGAAAGACACTGATAAACAGACAGATAGAGGTGACTGAAAGCTATCCCTCTTCCCTCTACTCGGGTTAAATTAGCTAAAACACGCAGTTTGTTCTTCTACCTGGGAGGTGTGGATCGGGCGTGGTACAGGTGTGTAGGGTGGGCGTAGCACAGGTGTGTGTGTGTGTGTAGACCTGTATATGTATATGTGTGTGTGTAGACCTGTATGTGTGTGTATGTATTTGTGTGCCTGTGACGAGGTAGAGGAGTTATATTTAGCTGCCAACGAGCCGATCAGCAGCAAAGAGGATAAAAGTGTAGCCTATATATAGACACGATGGAGCGACAGATTGAGGGGGGAAAGAAAACGGAGTGATAAGAGGGGATACAGAGGAAGAGTTAAATACAGAGAGAAAGGCGATACAGAGGCATAATTAGACAAAGTGAGAGAAAACAAACCTAAAGAGAAACAGAACTAGAGAAAAAGAGATAGAGAAACAGACAGGAAACCAAAGAGAAAGAGCTACAAACCCCCCCTCCCCCTTCCTCCGCCAACACGCCGGATATACAACAGATAACTTCACTCCGATACTCATATAACGTCCTGGCTTTGGGTTTTAATTTACCAAGCACCCCTCCTCCCCCCCTCAAAACAAAAACATAACTTTAGATATACTTTAAAAATATACCCCTTAAAGAATCCCTTCCCTTGATATATAATACAGAGTTACTATGGAAGGGATAAAAGTAAATGTAAGGGATAACGTGACAAAACCCATTCTCGGATTCATAGACGTCATCAATGGCCTCCGTCCTTATCAAGATAGATATAAATTCAATAAAATGATCTTATAAATTGACAAAGATTCAATATTGATGTGTTTTGTATATGTGTGTATGCTTCAATATAACCCACATATATTTGAATATATCCACAGGTTACTGGTATGCTGTATGATATATCTACTGTACCTTTTGGGAGGTATATTTATTCAGGTATTGGAAGCTAAATTTGTGGATGCATGTAAATACGTGTTCAGGGCTTTGGCAGATGTGAGGATGGTGATGATGATGGTGGTGGTGGTGATGATGGTGGTGGTGGTTGGCGTTTGTGAGGTGATGATGGAGAAGTTTTAATTGTCCTTTTATCTAATTAAGAAGATAGAGAGGGAGAGAGAGAGAGAGAGAACATAATGAGATTCAGACAGACAGACCGATAGCACACCACAGTTCATTAAGTTAAGTCATACAGGTAAGTAACCCTCTCTTCACCTCACCTTGGCAGGGTCGTCCTCCTCAGCGTCACTACAGATGGTGGAGGTCGCACTCGAGGGGTCGTACTCAAGGGTTACTCAGGAAGATCCGCCCACAGGACAGGTGAGCCAATAACCCCACACCTGTCTTGTGCACCTGTAGACTACGTGCTTATTGTCTTGTGTACCTGTATGGTCTGGAGTTATTATTAATATTGTTGACACTAATTAACTAACTAACTAGTATGGCAAATGAATGTATCGCAAACAAATGCATCACAGGCGAAGACAAGCAGCAAAAACAGAAGTGTGAGTGGCGACATAAACAGCAGCAGCACGAGTACAAGCAACGGTGTAAGTAGTGGCTGTTGAGGCACTAACTGTAACAGCAGCAGCAGCAGCAGCAGCAGTACACACGGCAGCAGCAGCAGCAGCAGCAGCAGTACACACGGCAGCAGCAGCAGCAGCAGCAGCAGTACACACGACAGCAGCAGCGGTACACACGGCAGCAGCAGCAGCAGCAGCAGCAGTACACGGCAACAGCAGCAGCAGCAGCAGCAGCAGTACACACGGCAGCAGCAGCAGCAGCAGCAGCAGTACACACGGCAGCAGCAGCAGCAGCAGCAGCAGTACACACGACAGCAGCAGCAACAGCAGCCTCTCCTCCGCCACGTCAATATCGGGTGCGCCTCAGAGCACCGGGTACTGCCCCGGGGCCAAGCAGTGGCGACTCCTCAAGCAAGACCTCTCCAGTGTCGCCAGGAGCCACACCTTCCCCCAGGACCTACGGCGAGTCCTCAGGAAACTCCACGAACCCTGGGACCCAAGTCCTCCTAGTGAGAGAAGTAGGAGGAGAGAAACACTTGAGGCCTTTGAGTCAATCGCCGTCAGAAGGCCCTCATCTCCTCAGTGTAAAATAATCATCTACGATAAAGTTGAGGTCTTGATCCATAAGCTGGGAGTGACGCTAAACGACAGGCTTCTCTATGTTCTGAACGGCCGATGTCACTGGAATGTCGCCTGTTGTTTAACGAAGGTGTCTTACGCATCCGGGAAGCATTTGTTTTTCTCCGATGAAGAGGGCGCTGTGAGGAGTCTCGAGATGGTTGAGGGTCTGAGGGAGGCACTGAAGGAGGGCCTAGTGACGGAAGAGACCCCCAGTAAAGAGCGAGAGGCCAAGAGGGTGTCACTCCAGAAGGTGAAGTCGACGAGGCAATGAAGGATCTGAGCCTTGTTGGTAGTGTGTAGGTGTGTGTGTAGTGTGTAGGTGTGTGTGTAGTGTGTAGGTGTGTGTGTAGTGTGTAGGTGTGTGTGTACTGTAGGTGTGTGTGTACTGTAGGTGTGTGTGTAGTGTGTAGGTGTTTTGTAAGTAGGGAGAGGTAGACACATAGACAACAGACATACACAGATAGACATTAGGCAGATAAACCAACAAACAGACAAAGATGTAAACACACAGACAGACAACGAGCCTAAATCATAAACAATCTTAAGTTCTAATAATAATAACAAAAAAAATAACAACATTACCACTAACAACATGCATGACAAATAACAACTATAACAGGCAAACTAACTCACACCCTCAGACGTAAACAACCTCTAATAACTCACACCCTCAGACGTAAACAACCTCTAATAACTCACACCCTCAGACGTAAACAACCTCTAATAACTCACACCCTCAGACGTAAACAACCTCTAATAACTCACACCCTCAGACGTAAACACCCTCTAATAAC